TGCACTTACCCACATTGAACTCCATCCTGTCCACTTCCATAATCTGTCCAGATCCTTTTGGATCTGGAGTACCTGTTCCTCAGTTGTGGTCACCGTCCCCACTTCAGTATTATCTGCTAATTTGATCAGCAGACTGTTCACCCTCTCTTCCAGGTCATTGATGAAAAGACTGAACAAATTAGAGTTGGGATATGTCAGCAACAAACTGGTTTCATATAAGTGGTGAGAGAGCAAGCATGAGTGTATGAATGAGAAAGAATGAAAAAAAAGGGAAGAAAATTCAAGACTATTTCCATGTTTAGAAGGTTTCCCTGATGCTTTTAAATTTTTGACTAGTGACACAAACAGCCTTTCCAGGAGTTGCTGACACATGAATGAGGGTCATTAAGGGAACTGCTGATATGAAAAGGTAGCGTGTTCCATGCTGCTGCTCATGACAAAAGCAGATCCAAGCGAACAGGACTGCAGGAGGCTCTTCCCTCTGGCATGAGCAAAGTGTAGCCTTTGAGAGTTTAAGAAAAAGCAAGAAATGCTGCTGTTTGCCTCTTTCCTGGGGCTGCTTATTAAATGTTCATGAATAGCACAGATGAAGCACCTTGTGCAGCTGCAGCTCTCCTGCTTGGATCCTAATCGCCTTCCTTTGTTTCTTTGAGTGCTGCAAGCGCAAGTCCAATAAAATGGGGCTCTGTGAAGGTGGTGTTCCTCATGCCAGCCTGCTGCTTGGGCTGGTAGAACAATGAGCCTTTTCGATGGGGCTCCAAAGGGGAGGAATTGCTGGGGTGGGTAGAACAATCTGCGGGAAACGAGCCTCAAGACCGATGCCTGAGCATTTCTCAGGTCTCGGATTACAATGTGAGAGTGACTCAGAAGGAAATAGGAACATGACTGAGGAAATAAGCAGAGTGGGGCACAGAGAAGAAGGCACGGGCCCTCCAGATACGTTGCACAGTAACTCTTGGCAACCCCCAGCCAGCTGTGCAACATTAAGGTTGCAATCTTAGGAACACTTATCTGGGAAGAAGCCCCATTGAATACAGCAACAGAATATACTAAGGAAAATGCCGTAAGAGTGTTCTGCACACCCATCCTCCCACCCCGGTTCTTCATGTTCCAACAACTCAGTTTGGTTGGGACGGGGTCTTCTGTGTGGCTGCTCCCAGGCTGTGGAACAAGCTGCTGAATGAAGCTAGGCTGCCTGCCACCCCCTTGCTGTCCTGCTGCTAGCAAGGAAATGCATTATATTCAAATAGGGCTTTGGGATAGAAGTCTGTGGTGGACTAGGTATGGTTTTTGTTCCAGCGCAGGCCACGGGCCCAGCTGCCTGCTGGAGGAAGACACAGCTTCTGCAATTTCCAAATACTCCGGTGTTGAAGCCACTCAGTTGCCACTCTGCCCTTGCAGCCAAAGGCCTTGAAAACAAGGGTGGGCCCTAAAGGGGAGTCCAGAGGGGAGTCATCCACCCTAGGAAGCTCAACCCTCAGGCTCAGCCAGGCTCTGCTGCTTGTTGGAGCAACAGGCAAGTTGGCTCATATGGCTTCTGGCACTGATTGGAGCTCTCCAAGGTGCTAACCTTGCCTTCATTTCTAAAGCTGGCATCTGGGCTCTCTGCTGTGCAGACTATTATGAAACCTGACTTTGTCTGTTGGAGCTGAGCCTTCGGCTGAAGACCATACCCTTGATAACCTGGGCTCAGCACTACCCCCTTAACTCAACAGGAACCATGCCTGACATGATGCAGCCAGGCAAATTTTCAATTTTAATTCTCATATTCTTATGTGCTTTTTAAAAATACAGTTTTCATCTGCTGCATTTTAACTTTACTGTTGTTTTATTATGCTTTTGAAGCTGTATTTAACTGGTTTGTTTACACATTGCCATGAGAATCTTTCTATGGAAGGAAGGCGTGTGCATTCTTTAAGCATGCACCTGTGCACTCAGCCAGACCCATCAGCAGCCTCCTCATATGACCTGGAAGTCCTGGTTGAAAGGGCCACTGTGTCCTCACCTGCCAGAGTCACCCAGAGTGGCCTCTGTGGGGCTTGTGATGGAGGGCCAAGGGTGGCTCGGACCACAACAAACTTCCCAAACAGAGTTGGAGTCAAGAATAGGCACTTGATGCTGCTCATATCCCAACTGGGCCCACTGGCATTAGCCCTCTGGAATTAATCTTCCTCTTTTTAATCTTCCTAATCTTCCTATTCTCATTACTTCTCATCTGCTCCTCTCTGCTCCAGATGATGACAGTGTTGAGCAGGAAAAACAGACACCACAGCTGACTTCCTCCGGGGCTTTCCGTCAAGCAATCACATGATCGCCCTGCTGAGCAGAAGTACAACTGCAGCTCAGCTGGTAGTGACTCTCTCAAGAAGGGGCTCCTGGAGTGTATCTGGCCCTCTGAAACCTGGTGCAAACACATGTCCTGAATCTGCAACACTGCTGCTGTTCTTGTTAGCAATCAGACCCCAGTCCAGGGGTCTCCATGGGTCCAAGGACCTGAAGATATTTTAGAGGGCCCCAGATTTAATCAACAGAGGCCCAAAGGTGCCGTGGTGACAATAGTGTTTTCTTCAGCTTAATTACCACACGGGGTAATTTTTCAAAAAGCTGGAGCTAAGGAGGGCTAGGTTAACTCCCATGCTGCAAGCCCTACTCCACCAAAACAATATTTTCCAGCAAGGCAATTAATATTTTTCCATTGGGTTGTGATGATCAGGAACATAGTGCACAATAATTGAAGAATATGCATTACTTGAGGTCAAATAGGAATAAGGAATAGGAAACAAGCAAATAGGAATAAAGCAAATTCTGGAAAATATTTCTGAATGTGCATGCAGGGAAAGAAGCTAGCACATTGCAGATGTTTGTCCTGGGGAGCCTGAAGTGCCCAAAGATATCTGTAGCCAGGCCTGCATCATTGACCTGAGGCCAGGTTCACAGTAGAGACCTGTTCGCAGGTAAGCCTGTGTGAGATTGTGGTGGCTGAGGGTTTGGGACCCAAGTCTTCTTTTATTTGGGAAAAGATTTGGTGCACTCTAATACAGAGTGACTGTGCTAAAGGGAACCATGCAGGAAACAGCTTGATGCACTCCAGGGAAAGCTCCAGCATGAAGACTGCCAGCCTGCCACTGGTACTTCTCTACTCAGTACAGAAGCAGCTTCACAGGCAAGACCATGGCTTTCTTGGCACCCAGAGAAGAGGGTACCCTGCAAAGTAGAGAAGGAACTTCTGAAAGGAAGAGGAGGCAGTGAAATGGCGGAGGGGACACCATGTCTGGAGCAAGTACTGATGGGAGCCTTGGCCAAATCCTGAAGCTTGGATAGAGCCAGGGAGTGGGCCAAAATCTTCATGTTACTGGGAAGAGCCAGGGCACTCTCCAGCATCTGCTGGAAAGAAGATTGGTAGGTTTCATTTAAGGGGAACAGAGAAGAGGTGAAAACATGGGGCAGATCTGGTCCCTGGAAAATTGATGGGGGAGGTGTTCCTGTGTAGGACAGCCAACAATTGGCAACTCAGCTGAGAGCTGGATTCAACCACCTCCCAATGAAGCCCCTTCCAGACCTTAGGGGTCCTAACTGTCAGGCAGTACTTCCTGGTATCCAAACTGAACCTTGGTTCCTTGACCTTGGCTCCGTTGGAGAACAGGTCTCTACCCACCTCTGTGGGAAACCCCCTCACATACCTGCATGTTGCCAACAGATCCCCCCGAAGTCTCCTCTTCTGCAGGCTGAAAAGACCCAGTTCCCTCGGTCTCGCCCCATACGACTTTCCCTGCAATCCAGCCACCGTCCGTGTTGCCCTATGCTGCACTGACAGGCTAGCTCTACCTGGGGATGTTGCCAGGAATTGAACCTGGGACTTTCTGTTTGCTGTGTGTGGGCTCCACCACAGAGTGATAGCCCAAAAGCAAAGTCAGATCCTAGTCCTCGTGTTTCTGAGAAAGCAGATGCTTTAAAGGGGATCACTGGAAGCTTCCTCACGTGAAGCTGTCACCCCTGTCCGGTACATCTAGCCCAGGATCGGTGACCCTCACTTGCAGCAACAGCATCTACCAGGAGACGCTGATGGGATACTGAACCGGGGACCTTCTGTATGTAAAACATGCTCTCCACCCTGAGCCACTACTGCTGCTGATGCCTGGCCCAAGGCTAGGTTGCTCAGTTTTTTATGGGGGTGGCATTCAGGTTGCCATGTATGCATTGCACAGAGAAAGGAAAGCTACCCCCCCCCCCGCACTTGGCGTATTTGCACATGCTAACTGTGTGCACTTACGGAAATGGATGAGTAATAACGATCATTTGAATAGCAGTAGAAGGCAGTGAGGAGGAGGGCCCTCCAGATGTGGGGAAGGCAGTGGCCAGGAGGGTTGCTTGCCTGAAGTGCCTGTGCTGTCAAGAAGCTAAGTCAGGATTGGTACCTGCTTTGTTCCCATCTCTAATGATCTTTTATCTTTAAGTCAAGACTGGACCACACAATTGTTCAGTCAAGGAGCTCTTCAAATCGAGGGCTATCTTCTGACAGTCCTTCAACTAGAGAACCACTCTGAGAGCCCTTCTGACTGGTCTCCTTGGGGAAGTGATTTGCTCCTGATGAAGCCCCACAGCCAGCTCCCCTTTTAAAAGACAGGCGAGAGCAGGAGCAAGCAGGAGGCCAGTGCAGCACTCCTCAGGAAGCATTCAGTGGATGCTAAAATGAGGAAAAAAATTCACCCCGTCTGGTTCAATCCCCTTTGATAATGTCCATGAGCAATTAGAGGCCATTAAGGAGAAGCCGAGAAGTGTTTGGACCAGGCAAAGTGGGGAGGGCTGGACATGAGGTAAGGTGGGGGAAGGTCAATGCTGCAATCCAATTTCCTAACCAGTAAATGTAATTAAGGGTATTGCTTACCCAGTATGCCTAGGAGTGCTAGCATATAAATAGGGAAAGCAAGCACTCCAAAGGCTGTTTTATTTCAAGGATGCAAACCATGGTGGGGAAGAAGCCGGCAAAACCCTCCTGCCCAACTCTCAAGCTCCGAGAAGTGGCATCCATGTATTTCACAGTGGTGGCAGTCTTCCTGGTCATCTTAGTGGTTGCCCTACAAGGCATGGATCCAGCTGAGGATTACTTCCCTTACAAAGTGCCTTTGGATCCCCGAGGTACCTTGGAGCTCTCATGGAATGTCAACTACCACCAGGAAGAGGTGGATTTCCAGCTCTTGGTCAAAGAGCTGAAATACGGGCTTCTCTTCGGCATGTCAGATCGAGGAGACTTTGAGAATGCCGATCTTGCTGTCCTTTGGAGCAATGGGCTCCAGTCTTATTTTGCGGTAAGTACATAGCCAGCCACCGCGGCTTCTTGTTGCTCAGAACCAGGAATCAAGTTTTTCTTGGTGTGGGGTATAATGCCAGCTTGATTTGAATGGAGCCAGGGACATAGCTTCTTGGGTCCCAGTGAAGTTCACAAGAAATGTGAAGAATGAATTTGCCAGCATTTGGTATTGCCTGCTAAGGCAATGGCCTCTCAGGACTGACTGGATCCTTTCCAGAGTCTGCCTAAACTGGTTCTGCAGACGGTAGGCTGCCCAAATTTTATTTCTACTTCCAATTAAACACCAGGATAGTTTTCCCCAGATAATTGAACTTGCACACTTTCTGTCTCTTTCTCTCTGTGAGAAAGACAGGGAGAAGGAGGAGTGTGCATCTGGAGTTGTGTTCATGTGAAGATCAGTGATCAAGAGCAGCAAGAAACAGCTGTCTGAGGTCCTGGGGCCGAGTCTTCCCAGCACTAGTTTCCAAACAAGAGGTGGAAGAGGGAAGAGATGCCAATAGAACTTGCTGTTTATTCCACTGAATCTGGTCTCCCCACCATTTCTCACCCCTTGCCATGTCAGCCTGCTCTAACCTTTTCTCTGATCTGTACTCCCACCGAAGGGATAGAGCAAATCCATTCCTGTTTTGTTCTGGCATCAGGCACACTCAGGTCTTTCTCGTGGCTCCTTGTTTACTATTATAAGAATACACACCCTGGGGAATGTTCTGTTCATTTTTTGTTTCTAAAAGAAAAGAAAGAACATATTTGAAAGAGCTCATAACTAAAGCTCTTGTTTAGAATAAAAGCTATCTCTACCAGAAAGTGGCACATGTTGTGGATTTGTTATCACTTAGAAGGGGAAAAAAGTGCACTCGGCTATATTTGTTCCCCCATTAAAGTATTTATTTAATCAGCTCTCTCACCTTGGCTCAGACAATTCCTACTCACAGCTTCTGCTGTAATTAAAAGAGGAGTAAACAGGGTTTTCAAAACCAGTTCTTCATGAGGACATTTCCAAGTAATCTTCCAATCAGTGTAAGTTTTCCTGATCATTAAGCCTTTAAAAATGTAAGCCGCCCCGAGGCTTCAGCGAATGGGGCAGCATAAAAATGTTTTAATTAATAAATAAATAAAATGTACATGATTCTGGATGTCACCAGAAGAGATTTCTCTCTGCAAAGCTGTACAAAACATAACTAAAGAGTGATTATTCTTCCATTTAAAGTGTTGAACTTTCCTGCAGATCTTGTCGAAGTCAGCCACACTTGATACAATGGCTGCACTTCATAGCACCTTCTTTGGTATATACCTTCACAGGAGCTGACCACACATGACAAAAATAATGATTTGAACCTTCCCATCAGCAGGAAAGATAATGTGTAAGGCTGGAGATCACTGGAGATTGGTCAAGATAATCCATATTATTTTATTCCAATCACTATGTATGCACATGAAAGCTGGACAGCAAAACTGTCAGGCAAAAAAATTATGTGTGCAAAACATGCTGCTGGAGAAGAGCTTTAAAATAGTCCAGACTGAAAGAAAATCGAATACATGTGTCCTAGATCAAATCAAGGCAGAGCTTGCCCTTCCTTCCCTCCAGACACATTTCCTTCTCCACTCAGCCACGTTGAGATCTATCCCTCACTTTTGTGAATGTCTGTGTGATCAGATGAGCCTTGATAATTTAATAAATAAAAGGCAAAACCATATTTAAGATGATCCCTTTTGAGTGTCTCTTTTTCAGAACATGCCAGAATCAAAATAGCTTCAAAACAGATGAATGGTCAAGTGTGTGGTTCGTGGCCAATTGATAGCATATTTAGCTGTGCTGCAGCTTTTAGCTCCCCCACTGAGCTGGGACGTGTTAGTGAGGCATCGACCTGCAGTCCCATACTCCAAGCATTCTGGTACTTGGGGAGAGGCGCTCTGGAAAGAGGACCACGCAGAGCACAGACTTGCCTTGCATGTGCTTCATCATAACTGCAGCAGTTTAAAGAGCCATGAAGACCATCCCTAGTGGAAACATGGGGACTGCAAGGCTTGGTGCTTGACCTCAGGGAGGAGCTGACATTTTGCTGTACTGGCCCGGTTTCTAGTGCAGAAGTTCCATGCTCAACCCCACCTCCCAAAAAGCTTGGAAAGAGCCTGCCTGATAGGCCCAGTACTGAGCCAGATGGACCCAGCCTCTGAATCACACTCCATGAAGACTAGAATTTTGGCTTGCTTGTGGGAAAGAGTCATAGTGGCTTATCTGTAGTGACAGAAGCCCCGTTTTGCATGCAGAAGGTCCCAGCAGAACCTCATAAGCAACATCGCCATGTGGACTGGGCAAATTCCTGCCTAAACTTCCAGGAGTCATGGCAGCTAGTCCATGTCAGCAGGACCAGACGGGATGGACCAGGCAGGCCTGGTTCAGTACAGGCAACTTCTGATGTTCCTGTGTCCTTGTTCAGGTGATATTGTTCAGTATTTATTATATTTTACTCCACCTTATAACCCACGTTCTCTGGGTGAATTACAGACTGTGAGAAGGCAAATGCCACATAAACATTTAAAATACAGTACACAGAGTAGCTCAGGGATCTATAACACAGCCATAGACATCTAGAACTCAGTAGGCAGAGGACTGTCCTCTGTAATTTAGGACACATGGCCACTCTAATGTGAACCAAAATGAGCAAGCTTTAACTCTGGACTTAGCCAGGCAGCTTTTCTTGAGTATCCACATATCTTTAGTCCTGAGGAAACAATTCCTGGTGACTGGTATTTGCACAAGGCCTGCAGAATACAGGTCTGTACTGTCTCCAATGTAACTCACCTCTCCCCACAGGATGCATGGAGTGACCAACACGGGAAGCTGCACATGGACTCCCAACAGAACTACAAGCTTCTTCAAGCCCAGAAAACCCCAGCAGGACTCTCTCTGCTCTTCAGAAGGTCTTTCAGCACCTGCGACCCAAAAGACTATCTCATAGAGGTAGAATTCCTCTGTCCCCAACTGTTTTACATGTGCTGAGCACCCTTAAAAGTAGGACAAGACCAGTACAGAACCCAACGTTCCTTTAACAGGAAGGCTTAGATTGGCCCCTGAGACAGAATGTCAAAAATTTCAAATTGTAATTTCATTTGTTTTGAAATCAAAGTCTTGAGCCTGAATGTCGAATAAGAACAATTACCCCAGATTTTGAAAGCAAACATTTAAGCAGCTTTCCCTAACCTTTTCTAAGCAGCTTAGAGACTTGTGATCTCTTAATATTCCACCCCACTTGCCAGACCAAAGGGCTTTAGCAGGTGCCATTTAGAATCCCAAGAGCTGCTGCAACTTTCCCTAACCTGGAGCCAAGATGCTTGGACTACCAAGCCTGGCATTCCTGACCATGGGCAGCTGATGCCCAGCACACCCAGGAGCACCAGAGCAAGCACTCTTGGCCTGTACCAAATATTACCAGATATCCAAAGGAGCAGCAGTTTGAATATTTGGCCTGAAGCAACAATGCTAGCAAATGTAGGGCACTCATTTCTCAGGCAAAACAACAAAGGAATATTTGCTCAATCAGCCCACCTCCTAGATGAAATCAAATATGGCCTCCCCTTGTGGGTTACATGTGTTGCTGGATTAGTGTGTTGGACACAAAGGGTCTGGACCTTGGCGCACTCGGCCCAATTAGACATGACAAGGGTGAGAGATTAACAAAGCCCTTATTCTCAAGATTAAGTTTGATCACAGCAAAGTGGAAATCAATCATGGCGAGCTCCCTTTTATACCCAATATGGCCAGGCAGCAGGAACAGCTGCTTAGTAGGCTGAAACCCCCACTGGGATTCCTGGTTGGCACATTTGAATTCATGTGACTTCTGTGCACACCTGGAGGGGCAGGTCTATCTAGGAGCTGAGGTGGAGACTTTTGGGCAGGAGATTGCTCAGTCTCCAGTTATTTACAATTCTCTGTTGCTTAGTAACATAGAAACAGAGTGAGTCAGAAGGGGTCTCCTGGGCCATCTAGTCTGACCCCCAGCTCCAGCCAGCTCTGCTCATGACAGTGCAGTAACTGCGCTGTAGATTCTCTGTGGTTGTGTGTATGCTTGGGATGTGACTAGCCAGCTGCTGCCTAATGCCAGCTTGTCAGGTACGTTCTACAAGTGAGCTGGTGAAAGTGGACTTCCCTGCCACTTCCTCATTTCCACGGCAGCCCCTGAAGTCCCCTAAGATATTATTATTAGAGTGCATTATTGTAACTTACTCTACGTGGGGCTGCCCTTGGAAATGGTCCAGATACTTCAATTGGTACAAAATAGAGCTGCCAGGCTGCTGACGGGGGCCATCCGTTATTCTCATATAACACCGGTCCTCTGTCAGCTGCACTGGTTTCCGATTGAAGTCCCTACCCAATTCAAGCTGCTGGTGGTTGTTGTTAGTTGTGAAGTTGTGTCCGACCGATCGCGACCCCATGGACAACATCCCTCCAGGCCTTCCTGTCCCCCACCATCCCCCGGAGTTCACTCAAGCTCACACCAACTGCTTCAGTGACTCCATCCAGCCACCTCATCCTCTGCCGTCCCTTTCTTCTTTCGCCATCTATTGTTCCCAGCATTAGACTCTTCTCCAAGGAGTCCTTCCTTTTCGTTAGGTGGCCAAAGTTTTTGAGTTTCGTCTTCAGGATCTGGCCTTCTAAAGCGCAGTCAGGGTTGATCTCCTCTAGGACTGATCGGTTTGATTGCCTTGCAGTCCAAGGGACTCGCAGGAGTCTCCTCCAGCACCACAATTCAAAGGCTTCAATCCTTCGGCGCTCAGCCTTCCTTATGGTCAAGCTTTCACAGCCTTCACAGGTATTAACAAGCTGCTGGTATTAACCTATAAATCTCTAAATGGCTTGGGACCAGGATACCTGAAGGGAAGTCTCCTTCCCTACATGCCCTCATGCCCCTTAAGATCGACAGGAGAAGCCCTGTTCTGGGAACCCTCTTTGAAGGAGGTAAGGAGGGTGTCTACCCAGAGGAGGGCCTTCTCTGTAGTGGCGCCCAGATTATGGAATGCGCTCCCCAGAGAGGTCCGCCTGGCACCGACTCTCTACACTTTCCAGCACCAGGTAAAGATCTTTTTATTTAACCATCATTTTAATAATTAAGGATTTTAGATGTTTTAATATCTGGTTACAGCTGTATTTTCTTTCTTTTTCCTTTATTTTTATGGAAGTGTCATTCTATGTTTTGCTTGTTATTTATTTTAATTATTGTAGTATTATATTACTATTTTAATTATTGTAAGCCATCCTGAGATGTTTGATCAGGAAGGATGGGATAAAAATGTTTTAAATAAATAAATAAGAGTGCTACACAGACAGTCAGAGCACCTGGATGCAGGGGGTGAGCTGTGGCATGCAGGGGGAGGGAAGTCCCCTTAAATTGTGTCTGGGGATCTTCTATGAGCATGCCCTTTCTTTGGAGCAGAGCAGTTCTTGAAGTATTGGAACGATCCCTCTTGAGACATGTTCCAGAGCATTTCATCTAAATTATAGACTTAATACTTTAAAAAAAGTTAAATTTGAGTTGCAATCTGTGTGTACTATTTTTTCCCAAGAGTAGGCTCAGCATTTTTAAAACTCCTCTGTTCTTTTAATGCAATCGACACCAAACATAATCAGTTATCACAGCTTCCTGGTCATGAGACTAGCATTCCTGTGCCTGCACCTGCCTGTGGGATTCCCTTCAGATTGTCTGCCTGCAGCTTCTGCAAGGAGGAAAAATAGTCCAGAGAGGGCTGCTTAGTATTGTCCAGCATCCTTATGTGCGTCCATTAAATGATCTCTAAGGACTCAATCTCCATCATGGATCACTGCCTTGTCGTGGTGAAGGGGCTTGCGTAGCTCAATCAAGCTCTGAACTGTGCCATGCAGGGCCACCCGAGACGGACAAGAGAGCTCTGACAAAACAGGATCCACTGGAGAAGGAAATGGCAACCCACTTCAGTATCTTTGGCCATGAAAACCCCATGGACAGTACTAAAGGCAAAAAGAGATGACGCCGGAAGATGAGCCCCTCAGGTCGGAAGGTGTCCAATATGCTACTGGGGAAGAGCGGAGGGCTAGTACTAGTAGCGCCAGAAAGAATGAAGCAACTGGGTCAAAGCCGAAAGGACACTCAGTTGCAGATGTATCTGGTGGTGAAAGGAAAGTCCGATGCTGCAAAAACACAACAGTGGCCACAGGATTGGAAAAGGTCAGTTTACATTCCGATCCCAAAGAAGGGCAATGCCAAAGAATTTTCAAACTACTGCCTTTGAATTGTGGTGCTGGAGGAGACTCCTGAGAGTCCCTTGGACCGCAAGGCAATCAAACCGGTCAGTCCTAGAGGAGATCAACCCTGACTGCTCTTTAGAAGGCCAGATACTGAAGATGAAAATCAAGGACTCCCTGGAGAAGAGCCTAATGCTGGGCACAATAGATGGCAAAAGAAGAAGGGGACGGCAGAGGATGAGGTGACTAGATGGAGTCACTGAAGCAGTTGGTGTGAGTCTAAGTGGACTCCGGGGAAGGTGGAGGACAGGAAGGCCTGGAGGAATGTTGTCCATGGTGTTGTGATGGGTCGGACACGTCTTTGCAACTAACAACAACAACAAGGACTCAATCCCATGCGTGCTTAGACAAATAAATAAATGGTTGGTAGAGAGACTGTGGAATGCCAGGGTTATGGTTTTCCTGCCCTTTGCATATTGGAGAGTTTAGTGGCCATGTGTCATATGCCAACAACAGCATCCTATGCTATGATATTTACAGAAAGTTTTATAGCATTTGTAGTCTTTAATTTTATGAGGGCCATTCTTCTGGTGAAAAATAGGTTAAGGCTCACTGTTTTTTCCTTGTGACAGTGTATGTTACACACAATTTGTGCAAGAAATGATTTTATCTGGTGCCAGTTGAGTTACAGTTCATGTTATACTTTCAGTATGGTTCATTTCTCTCTTCAGCTCATGGAAGTTTTCTATTAAAACACACTGGGGGGTGGGGTTGACTTTTTAATCCTGAGATATTCCAGCACCATGTTGTGGCTTGCCTTTTGTTGTTGTTTTGCTGCTATTGGCTTCCTCTGGCCACCAGCCATGTTGGTTATAAGGGGAGCAGGGAACCAGGGTCGTTCCTGGCATAAACCCCTGGAAACCTGGCGTTCTCCCCAAAGTGGCATGAGTCACTGACAGACAAGACTTTGCCTCTCATTTCAGGATGGCACAGTGCATCTTATCTATGGGATTCTGGAGAAACCAGTCCTTTCCCTCCAAGCAATCAATGTGTCTGCAGTCCTCCAGAAAGGACTGCAAAGGGTGCAGCTCCTGAAACCCCAGGTCCACATCCCCCAACTTCCAGACGACCTGAAGGCCTTGGAAATCAGAGCCCCTGATGTAGACATTCCCAGCCAGGAGACCACCTACTGGTGCTTTATACAGGAGCTTCCCGATGGCTTTGCAAAGCACCACATTGTAATGGTAGGTAGGTCTCTCCACTGGACCTCTACGATGGGGTCCTCACATGGGTCTCTTCTTCTCAACTTGCTTTTCAATATCTCAATAGAACAGTTGCAGTTCTCCTGTTTTCCTTGTCTCCTTTGGGGCCCTGTGGGATCTTGTATTCTTTGCTTTTCTTCATCTGTACATGGATCCTACATAACCTCAGCATTTTCCACCTAGGCACTGATGACCCCCAGTTCTCTCTCTCTCTCTCTCTCTCTCTGCACCAGATGCTCTGGTCATTTCTCATCATGCTGGGAATTGCCAAATTGGCCAGTTTTACTTCCTGTCTTTTTTCACCTTTTTTCCAGTCCTGAATAACTTCTATCCCTACAGCAACAACAAAGCTTAACTTCCATGTGAAAATGTGCCTACATCTTCTAATTTCCCAAATGTTGTCCCACATATGTATATTTTCCAAGCAATGTTCCCAAAAGTATTGCATTTTTGCATGTTAAATTCAGAGGTGTAACACATGGCTATGTGCACTTTTTCCTAAAGTGCACACATTTGCATGCATGTTTTGATCAGAGAGTTGCACTTGCAATCCTGAGGTTTAGCTGAGTTGTTTCAGGAAGTGCAAGTCAGCATGGTTTGGATTAAGACGTGAACCTAATGGATTTCTCCCTTTCTGTTCTCTCTGGCCTTCTGTCATCTCATCTTCATGCATTCCCACCCATCCAGCATTCTGCTTCCAAAAATATTTTTGTCTCTCCTTAAATTCTGTCATAATAATTAATAATAATACCAACTGTTTTATTGTTGGACTCAGTTTCTGTTTGACATCCATGCATTTCCAGGCTTTCAAGCTTGGATTTACAGACCCCCAAAAAGTGTTTGACAGCATGCACACATTTGACAGATGCACGTGAAGTATGCATTCTTTTGAAAATTGTGCACATAAATTCTTTAATCAATGGGAGAAGAATGTATGAAAAATAGGTGCAAAACCATGCGTACATTTTCTATGTGAAAAGGAGAAGAAAAAAAAAAACCAGACTTGCCATTTGTTTGCCAAGGGCAAAAGGTTCTTTTTGGATCCAGAAGCAATGAGCACACAGGTGGGTCTAGATAATTTTTTCTAAAGCAGGCGCAATAATGTAAACAAACATAATAACATGGAAAGGGAGAAAAAAAGAAATGCAATACCAAGTAAGGTGGCTTTCCTCTATCAGCTGTTGGGTGTCCCCCCCCCCCTTCGCAAATGGCAAGGAAAAAGCCCTAATTTTGGCTGGCGTGTGTAGCACCTTCCTCGCTCGGCTAGATCTAATGCTGGAGCTCGTTTTGGCGGAACAACGAGGCTTCTTTTCTATCCTAAATCTTAGTGTGTGATGTGCTGCAGAAAACTACGTCAAAACAGTTAATTAGCCACATCTGCTGTTCTCACGATGTTAAGGTCAGCAAGCAGCTCAGAAAAACATTTTTGCATGCCAGTGGGCCTCAACTGGGTTGTAAAGAGGCCTGTTACAGGAGCAATTGTGTTACACCACACAATTGTAGATGTATTGTATACACCTCCGTATACAATAGTCTTTCGGTGATTTTTCTCTGCACCATCTGATCTGGACTTGAGTCAAACAAACTTGGAAGGCTCCCATAGGTAGTGCAAGAGCCTGGAGTACATGGGGCCTGCAGTTGCACCCCAAATTTTAATAAGAGTGGATAAGCCACAAGAGCACAATTGTCTCCCCATGGTTGCAGGATAGCTTTAAACAATGACGTCCCACCCTCATTCCAAAGGGATACAGTCCATTCTGTATCCTATTCCCTTGCATTGACAGGCTCAGTATTATTCTATGAGACGGAAAAGGCACAGAAGAATTGCTTGGAGTTGGGAACACGAAGCAACCAGAATGGTGCCTGTTGGTGCTTGGCTGCAAGCCTCAGCTTTAGGGAAACGGTTTGGTGACAAGATGAATGCTCGGCATTTGTGTCCTTCCTTGCAGTACGAGCCTGTCGTCACAGAGGGGAACGAAGCTCTTGTCCACCACATGGAAGTCTTCCAGTGCGCTCCGCAGTTCAACACCTTCCCACATTATAGCGGGCCTTGTGACTCAAAGATGAAGCCAGAGCGCCTCAACTTCTGCAGACACGTGCTGGCTGCCTGGGCCATGGGCGCACAGGTGAGTCAGTCCAAATGGTTCCCAACAAACATTTGCCTCTCCCCTTTGCTCTGCTCTGCTTTTGCTCTGCTGTGTCCAGGATCTGGGTGCAAGGGCCATTCTGCCTACATCATGAGTGGGAACAACAACGGCTCCTTTTTGTATGGTGTCACTGTTCATATGAGCAGAGTCCCCTCTTTGGCGTCACCGTCAGCCTTGCCATCTGGGACTGGGTAATATGGAACCTTTCCTCAAGCCTTCTCCAATCCCTCCCTTCTCAGGCTTTCTACTATCCAGAGGATGCTGGACTGGCCTTCGGAGGGCCTGGATCCTCCAAGTATCTGCGCTTGGAAGTTCACTACCACAATCCTCTGGCACTCAAAGGTATGCAGAGATTTGGAGCCCAGGAAAATATTCAAGGGAGGAGAAAGTGGAGGTAGAAAGAGTTTGGGAAACGTGCCACAGCAAGGGAGCTAGTGTGGCACAGTGGTTAGAGTGCCAGGCCAGGACTGGGGAAACCTGGGTTCAAGTCTTCACTGGGTGAGTTCCCTGGGTGACTTTGGTTCAGGCAGTAACTCTCAGCCTATCCCACTTTGCAGGAATGTTGTGTAGAGGAGGACTGTGGGTTCCTTGAAAAGAGCAAAGAAGTCAGATAGAAATGCAAATATTAAATGAAAGGGAACAGGAGCAGATGCCATAACTCCTTCATTTAGGTTTGGTTCCAGTTGGAGATGGGCAAGATGGAAGCAGCACAAAAGCATTCTAAGAAGGCTTTTCTAAAAGCAGGCTTTGAGAGGAAGGAGCAATGCCCCCTCCCCACTTTGCTAAGGTAAGGAATAGAATCACCAGCAAAGAAGAAATACAACACCTAGAAAGATGATATGGAGTTGCTTAAACACACACTGTCGGGTTGTTGCTCAACATGTAAACAACCCACAAGTTCACGAGCAATAAAACTAAAGTTCTTTATTGCTACTTGTCTACAAGATTTACAACTCTATAGATAAGCTCTTCTGTTGAGGTCTTTGGAATGCACCTCTAGTGGTGTCTCTCCCCAAGCCCACACGCCTTTCTTCCCTCTGGAGTAACAAGGCCTGCCTTTGCTCGTACCTCCTCAGAATTCTACGATTGGTTGCTAGGGAAAAATCTATTACGCCCCCCCAGTCTCCTGTGTCATGTTCAGGAAGGTCAGTGTCAGTGGGAGGAGAGACAGCCTGCTCTGACTCCTTGGTCTCAGTTTGGCAACAGTGATCTGTGCCTTCGCAACACTGCAGAAAGTCCTGCAATGCACTCTTGTTGAGCTACCCTTGAACTGATGCACTGGTGCAAAATTTGACACCTTGGCTGCTCCCTGGTGTCCTGAAAGACCTGCACTGCTGGCTAATTATTTTCTGGCCTCCATTTAAGTTGTTGGCCATTTACCGCTTAGGAGGTGAATGGCCCAGCTCCTGCCACCCTGACGGGCTGCCTATTCTTACGTGAATCTGCCCAGTGAGTAAGATGAGCGGGAGAGCCCACTGGAAGACACCCTGCACCCTTCGGCATCCAGTTGTCAGGAATGTGGGAAAGGGCTTTACGCATCCAGAACTGTTAGATATCGTTGGAGCCCACTTACCTGTCTTTCAGAAAAGGCATGAATACACACCTAGGTTTGATGATATTATTTTCCTGATCTTTAGAGTTTTCTTTTTTGCTTGCTTGCTTTTTTTTTTTTTTAACAAAATGAGTATACTCCACGTTAGTAGCCTATTGGACAAGAGTGCTATGCAAATATTATTACTCAATTTATAATAAATAATCATGGTACAGACCCTTGAGAAATGATTCACACTCCTTTTGCCAGACTTCTACAATAACCCCTGCTTGTGCAGGAGAACTCAGCATCTTCTTCTTTTTTAAGTTTTTATATGCCGTCCCCTTGCTATATAGCCTTGGGACAGCTCACAGAAATAAATAAATATATATTATACAAAAACAGTTAAATCTTGCAGGGCTGAGAATGGGGGTAAACAGAGAGATCACTCCTGAGTATTGCTTTCAAGCTTTTTTTGCTCTCCATCAGTTTGCAAAAAGTTGGTACCCAGCACAGACTTCCCTGGCTGACTCAGTGTCAGCCTCTTCCACTTGGATCAGTTGCTAATTACAGCCTTGGACTGGAAAAGATGATACATCATCCAGTGCTGCTGTGTATATGCTGAAAAATGTCAGGGTTAATATGCCTTGATTGCCTTTATTTTCAAAATGAAAGAAAAAACCTCCAGTTTTTGTTCGTTTGTTTCTGTGCTAATACGCCATGGCTGGTTAACCATGACCAATCCATGAAGAAAAGCTTAGGTCTGTTCTGCGAAAGACGATGGAGAGGCTCATAATGGGAAAAGCTCTGGAAAGCCTAGATAAGGAAGGGAGGTGGAAACTGCTGGAGGGATTCATTGACACAGATTGATACCGCTGCCTGTGTTGGCTCTGGGGAGGACCAGAATGGGTGACTGCACTTACTGGTCAGTACCAGACTGCTCAGGATGTGCCCTTTCACTTCTCCCCACAGGTCACCATGATTCCTCAGGCATCCGCCTCTACTATACAGCCTCGCTGAGGCCTTATGATGCCGGCATCATGGAACTGGGCTTGGTCTACACCCCAGTGATGGCAATCCCACCAGGCGAAAGCCATTTCTACCTGACGGGGTACTGCACTGACAAATGCACTCAGATGGTGAGCACGTCTGTGGCATCAGTCACAAGAGCCTTTCTCAGATCTGGGCACACCATCCCCCCAGGAACATTCTCCATTAAGTTCCGGGAGGGAAAGGGTTGCCCTGTTTAAGTCATGCTGGAGCATGCTGGGAGTTGCAAGCCCTTTTTGCCTGCCTTGCCATATATAGGATCAACTGCAGTGGCAGTGTCATTGACTTTCTCTGTTTATGGGCTTGCCTAGGAGCAAGGATCCCCTGATCCACCTGACATGCCCTGGAATATCTTCAAGCCAGAGGCCAGCCATGGTGGCCAAGTTTCCTGCCCCATTCAAGGAGCTCTTCCTCCTCATAGGTGGATCTCCTCTTCCTGACAGGCAGGGAAGTCCATGGCAACGTGCAGCCCAGGGGGGACAGAAAACCTGGCTGGTGAGCCTTGCCCAGTCTTCTCAGCTGGCACAGCCAGCTCATGGGGCACACATTCCTCCAGGGGCTTCTCTTTGCTGCCCTGCAGGAAGAACAGCATAGAGGGCAACGAGCAGCATAGAGGGGGTTCTCATCCCCTCCCATGCCGGGGAGACTGGCAGTGCCTGAAGGGCAATGAAGACGCCAGGTGTCACAAGTGGCAGTCCTTGGGTTGGTCCCTTGCAGCAAAGCAATCGAGTGTCTTGCAGCACCTGTGACCTCTTTATTGGCAGGTTTTGTACTGACACCTGCTGCTGCTGCTGCTTTGTGCAGACTTGTGGCATCCCCTCTCCTTCTCGAGGCTTGGGTAGGATTCTGTGCTTGGTGGTTTGATGCGCTACTGCTTGAGCATCTGTGTTCCACACTAGGCTTTGCCACCTGATGGGATTCATATTTTTGCCTCTCAACTCCACACTCACCTGACTGGGAGGAGAGTGGAGACTGTGCTGTCACGGGAAGGAAAAGAGCAGGAAATTGTCAATGCTGATGCCCACTACAGCCCTCACTTCCAGGTAGGTGGGACTTCTAAATCCCAAAAGTACCCCGAGCCAATTTGACCATGGGAAGCAAGTTGGCTGCTCCAACAAAGGGTATTAACAATGACATGGATTTGGAAATTTTAAACTTGGGTTGCATACCAGTAAAGATCACTGGCTGGTCAGATTTATCTGTTACATTTAAATATTTATTTATTTGTTTGTTTATTTAAAACATTTTTATGCCACCCCCATCGCAACGAAGCCTCGGGGCGGCTCACAACAGAAACAAAATACATAAATACATAAATAATAACAACATAACAATAAAAAAATTATTTAAAAACCCCCGGTGCATCTCAGCTAAAAATTTAAAATCCTATAAATACAAATAATTTAACAATTAAAATAAGTTTTAAATAAACAGGTCTTAGCCTGGCGCTGAAAAACAAATAACGACGGCGCCAGGTGGACCTCTCTGGGGAGCACATTCCATAGACAGAAAGCCCTCCTCCAGGTACTCACCCTCCTAATATTCACAGAGGGTTCCCGGAGAAGGGCATCTGTTGCTGATCTCAAGGGGCGGGAGGGCATATATGGACGCAAGCGTTCCTTTAGATATCCAGGTCCCAAACCGTTTAGGGCTTTATAGGTCATAACCAACACCTTGAATTGGGCCCGGACTTCAATCGGGAGCCAGTGGAGCTGACGGAGAACTGGGATTATATGAGAACAATGCCCAGTCCCTGTCAGCAGCCTGGCAGCAATATTCTGCACCAACTGAAGTATCCGGACCATCTTCAAGGGTAGCCCCACGTAGAGTGCGTTACAGAAATCTAATCGTGAAGTCACCAGCGCGTATGTCATTGTTGCCGGCAGTCATTCTCCAGGAAGGGACGCAGCTGATGTATCAGCCGAAGCTGAAGGAAGGCACTCCTCGCCACCGCCGTCACCTGAGCTTCTAGAGACACTCCTAAGCTGCGAACCCTGTCCCTCAGAGGGAGTGCAACCCCATTTAGGACAAGGCCCAAGTCCCCCATCCCGAGGCCCGAACCACCCACCAACAGGACCTCCGTGTTGTCTGGATTGAGCTTCATTTTATTGGCCCTCATCCAGCCCATTACCTTGGCCAGGCACCGGTTCAGCACAGCCACTGCCTCACCTGGGTTGGTGGAAAACGAGAGGTAGAGCTGGGTATCATCAGCGTACTGATGATTCCGCAGCCCAAACCTCCTGATGACCTCTCCCAGAGGTTTCATGTAGATGTTGAATAGCAAGGGGGACAAAATGGACCCCTGCGGTACTCCATGGCATAGCTGCCATGGCGCAGAGCCACAGTCCCCCAGCACCACCTTCTGGAATCGGTTGTCAAGGTAGGAGCGGAACCACTGCCAAGCAGTGCCTCCTACTCCCAGCCTATCCAGAAGGATACCATGGTCGATGGTATCGAAAGCTGCTGAGAGGTCCAGGAGAACTAACAGGGACGCACTCCCCCTGTCTCTCTCCCTGCACAGGTCATCATACAGGGCGACCAAGGCAGATTCAGTACCGTACCCAGGTCTGAAGCCGGACTGAAATGGGTCCAGATAATCAGTTTCATCCAAGAGTGCTTGGAGTTGTCCCGCCACCACCTGCTCTAGCACCTTGTCCAGGAACAGGATGTTGGCCACCGGTCTATAATTGGCGGCCACCTCTGGATCCAGGGGTGCCTTCTTTAGGACTGGCCGGACTACCGCCTCCTTTAAAGGGGCAGGTACCCGGCCGTCTCTTAAAGAGGCGTTGACCACCTCCAGGATCCAGGTCCCAGTCCCGTCCTTGGCTTTCTTAAGTAGCCAAGATGGGCATGGGTCTAGTAAGCAAGTGGTAGGCTGTACTTGTCCAAGCACCTTGTCCACATCATCAGGCTGCAACAACTGAAATTCATCCATTGTGGACTCGACAGCATCGATGGCATCTCCCCAGTTGAATCTGGTTCAATAGTAGAGTCAAGCTCATGGTGAATCTGAGCGATTTTGTCCCTGAAATGCTTGGCAAAGTCGTCACAGCGGGCCTTCAAGGGTGGCACAAGATCTTTCTTTGGGCCCGGATGTACCAGCTCCTGCACCACCTGAAAGAGCTCCACTGGACGGCATTGTGAGGAGGCAATGGAAACGGAGAAGAATTTCTTCTTCGCCGTCCTCACCGCCACAGCATAGGCCCGTTAGGGGGCTCTTAAGTGTGTTCGGTCAGAATCACCCTGTGTTCTCCTCCACCTATGCTCTAGACATCTCCCAACCTGCTTCATCATTCAGGTGTATACCAAGGAGATGAACAGGCTCTGCCAGGTGGGAGAGGACGCTTGGGAGCGATCGTGTCAATAGGCCTGGTCATCTCCTCATTCCACAGTTCGACTAGGGCATCGACAGGATGCCCTAGCTGTCAACCGGAAAATCCCCCAGAGCTTCCAGAAATCCGTCAGGATCCATCCGGTTCTGGGGGTGGACCAATACAATTGGGTCCGCACCCTTACAGAGGGAAAGGCCACTCTCGAGCTCAAACCTTATGAGGAAGTGATCTGTCCATGACAAGGGCGTCAAACTTAAATTCCTCACCCTCAGATCACCCTCTTCCTGCCCCATCAAGAAAACCAGGTCCAGAGTGTGTCCGTATTCATGGGTCGGGCCAATGACGTGTTGAGACAGCCCCATGGCCGCCATGGAGGCCAAGAAGTCCTGAGCTGCCCTGGTTAGAACCGTCTTGGCATGGAAGTTGAAGTCCCCCAGGACCAACATCCTGGGAGTCCTCAACACCAGGTCCGAGATGATCTCCATCAGCTCAGGCAGGGAGTCATTTGGACAGAAGGGTGCACGGTACACCAACAGAATCCCCAATCTGTCTCGGTCACCCAACAAGTGGAGGCACTCCAGCCCCAGCCTTGAGAGGACAGGAAGCCCCACAAGGGAAATAGAAGCTTGATAAACCAGAGCGACCCCCCCTCCCCTCCAGGCGTGATCGGTGCTGGAACAGGTGCACGGGCGGGCACAACTGTGAGAGGGAAACATTCCCCCCTCACCCGCCCAGGTCTCTGTGATGCAAGCCAGGTTGGCCCTTTCATCCATGATCAAATCATGGATGAGTGTTGCCTTATTTTGGACCGACCTGGCATTAAGCAGCAGCACCGACAGGCCCAGGGGGCAGCTGACAAGTCTACCTGGAACCCGCCGGCTGGAGGAATAACCAGAAAGAGGGACAGGTGTTAACCATCTGTCCCTCCTTCTTCTATGCTGACCCGTTAGACCCCCAACGCCATAACGTCCATTGCCCATCAGCACCATGATGGCGGCGCCCCCGCGCTCCCCAGGCGACATCATAGTAAAGCACGAGATGCACCAATTAAAAGCAATCTAAAACCAACAATTAAAACCATTAAAAACATCCTACCATAATCCACCATAATCCACCGCTAGCCCACAGGTAAAACCAAACCACGGCCAAAGCCCCTGGCCAGCCCAGCCCCACACTCGGCCTCCGCTCGGCCCCCAAACGGCGACCGCCGTAAAATGTGCAAACAAATAAATGTGCAAACAAGTAAATGTGCACATTCCAAACTCAGGCACTTTTCTTATGTTGCCAACACTCAAACAACACTAAAGACAGTATCCTAGGCATACCGAGACAGAAAAAGAGTCCACAGCTCCCAACATTCCCCAACCAGCATTGTTGGCTGGGAAATGCAGCATGTTGTAGGACTTTTTTCTATCTCAACATTTCCAATCGGTGATTTTAAATTCTAAGTGCATTGGGTCACCTGTGCTAAAGGAAGTAGACTTTCCATCCCCTGCCTTCTCATGGCATTCCTGAGCATCCCCAAAATGCTATATAGAGACGTAGGATTCCTGAATTATGGGGTGAAGTGTGGTGGATCCCCTCAAAATGGGTGGAGAGAAGTGTGGTGGAACTTCTGTGGGTTAAGGTAATCTGCAAACTAAGCCATCTAGGATAGGATTCAATTCTTCCATCATCAAGAGTATCATGTTGTTTGAATTTGGTTTCCTTTTTAAAAAGTGTTTCTAGCACTCAAGTTATAGAGGTATGTTTGCAAAAGAGCAGAAACTGTGTTCGGGGGTGGGGGGGTTCATTTCCTGTCTTCCATGACCTTCCATTGCTTTCCACTCTCTGCCCACCTCATTTTCTTTCAGGAGATCCGTATGTTAAAGAAACTGGTGTCGGTCTTCCCAGTAAGTCCATGCTGCAAAGCAGCCTTATTCATTCCTTCACATATGCTACTGGGCTGTCTTATAACTAGGAAGCAATCAGATCTTAATAGTGCATACAGAATATCCTCCTCCAAGTTGGAGATCCACCAAGGCCATGCTTGTGCAAGCTGGAAGCTGACACTGGCCAAGGTGGCAATACCAGGGAACCTGGAAATACCTCAAAAGAGCTTATGTAGCTTTCTCTTAAAAGAGAGGCTGTAAAGTGCTACCCAAATTCCAAGACAAACTTTCATATCAGCTGAAAATCTGATGCTTGACCCACACATGCCACCCAAGAGAGAAAGGTGGGCATAAGTCCTACAAAGTGGCAATCCTATACAGCTAAAGTGGTGGTAGCAATTGTGGGTATCAGCATCCGAGGCATGGGCAGCTGGGTATCAGATCAGGGCACCAGGACCCAGGCAACCAATACAATATACAGGCCCATTCCAAATCATAGTCAGGGAGACCAGAGGTCAAGGCAGGCAACAGAAATGCGAGGTAGGCCACTCCAAAGGGCAAAGAGCAGCCAAGCCAGTCAGGAGTCACCAACCGCAGAGACAAGCCGAGGAGAAGCGGGTACCTGGAGCTGGAGCAGGTGAAGCCGGGCATGGGCAGAGGCAGAGGCAGGAGCAAGGCGGCGGGCAGGGTCTCCAGAAGCAGGTTCCAGAAGGCACAGGGAGCTCCAACTGCACCAAGGCCCTTGGTTGCTGAGGCCACGTCTGAAGGGAAGAGCCGCTTCTGAGCCCCTCCTCCCTCAGGGCTCCCAGGTGGCGCTCATAATGTCCCAGGTGGCTGTGATTGACTGTGGGCCCATCCTGCAGCCGCCCAGGGCTGCTATTCTGGTGTCTGGCCAGAAGAGGGAGCCCTGGTGCTGCCTCAGAACCTCACAGGGGGCAGGCAGCCCTCTCTCAGCCTGATGGTATTAAATCCTCTCCATCTGTTTCATGGATTAGCTGGCATCTCTTGTTCTACTGTCTACACCATGGGTCCTCAAGCTACGGCCCGCGGGATGGATCTGGCCCATCATGCCCTTTCATCTGGTCTGCGCCGCTGTCGGCCACCCGTGTGGGAGGCGGTGGCTTGCTCGCTCGGAGATGGTTTTGGACTTGTTGGGAGATCTCCGAGCGAGTGAGTCACCGCTGCATACGCCCAAAGCCACCTCGCACACACCCAATGACACCTCACCAGCCCCTGCGTGTAGCCACCGACTTTCAGCTGGCCCCCTTTTGAAAAGGTTTGAGGCCTCCTGGTCTACACATTGACAGAATTGAATTTGTTCTAGGGATGCTCAAGAATTTGAGGTTGAAATGCAAACATGTCCTGCTCCAATCATGAATGTGAATACAGGTTGAAATGCAAGTCAGGGGAAATGTTTGCATTTTTACAAACTGTACTTGGACGGACTAATTCTCCCCCAGCCCCCCTCCCCCTCAGTTAAAAATGGGTTGATGGAATGCATGCAACTCAGGTGGAGCTGCTTTGCTACATCATTCACAGACTGGATTCAAAGAAGCCCAAACATGTTGGAACGAATAGCGCATTTGCCCCAGTATCTCTAGTATGTGTGCATGTCTTTCCCATGTTCAGTCTCTCCTCACAATGAAGCTGCCCTGGCGAAGCTGCCAGGAAAGGAAGAGTATCCTCCTTCCCCCAACTCTGGTGCACCCTGGGTTTCCGCAGCTACACTCTTAAGACAAGTTAATACTGTGGAGAGGGCGGAATGGAAGAGTGTGCTTTTAATACTCATCTTTCGTCCATGAAAGCCAGGCAAATTGCACAGGACCATTAGTGCCCGTGCATTTTTGGGAGCTGGGAAGAAAGGGCTTGGTCTCATCCTGCTTCAGAATTTCCTCCCCAGGACTCAGTATACTCATCCAGCTGTGTTGCAACCTGGGGAAAGCCCACTTCATAGTGTCAGCGATGCTTCATTTATGGGTACCAAAGACACGTTTGTCCATCAACAGGGTGATGTCCTGAGAACAACTTGCATGTACAACACCGAGGACAGGACCCAAGCGACTGTGGTGAGCATACCTAGAGATGTACAAGTATAATTTATGTTCTCTGAAAGCACCTGCCCAGGATTCTCCTTTGGAAATACTGGTACTGAGCTTCTTAATGGGACTTCCTGTGTGGAACAGGCATGGCTGGTTCTCTTTCATACAGGGTGGTTTTGGCATCATGGAGGAGATGTGTGTCAACTACATCCACTATTATCCCCGGACACAGCTGGAACTGTGCAAGAGTGCCGTCGAGTTGGGCTATCTGCACCGCTATTTTACGCTCGTGAACAGGTGAGACAGTCCAGCAGTCCAACGGGCAGCCATGCTGGCTCACATCCATTTCTGATGGGCAGCAAACTGTGCTCTGTGAGAGACGGGGCTCATGGTGCACAGTGCTGGGACTTTCCCTGTGTCCACTGCAACACTGGCCTCATCCGCCCGCTCTGGAGACCGCACAGCGTTCTCCTGAGCCGAGTGGTGAGCCACACAGTGGCTGATGGGAGTGGGCAGGGGAATGCAGGCACAGTTTTGGGATGGGCAGGACTTGGATCTGGAATGGAAAACCATTTGCTTCACAGAAGACCTAGTGAAGAGGACCACTTCTAAGACAGCAGTGTTGACATGAACCAAGGAAACTGCCTGAAGTTTCCAGACTCTCCTGGAAGTGGGGGGATCACTATGGGGACTGCTTGTTTCTTTCAGTGCCCCTGAAAAGGTTGCTGGACATTACATCTCTCTTGCTAGTCAAGTTCTTTATAGAGGCAGTCACTGAGTTGTGAACATCCAAGTTACAAACAAACTGTCATAAAGCTTATTAATTTATAAGCACGATTTATTATGCTTTATTAATTACTGCCAAATTACTGCCAAAATTTATTAATTTCTGCCAAAAGTCACCACCATAGAGGGAGAGGAAGTGAAAGAGGAGAAAGGGAAGCCTCCACTGTATGCCTTCCTGCTCTGATCATCTGAGGAGGAAAATCTTTCCATCCTTTCCTTGCTGCAAAGAGGAGACACTGGTGCATTTGGATGGGAGAGGGGATAGAGATATTCATGGTTTTTCCACTCTCATGGGGGTCCTACACCTCTAACACCAGTGAATGTAGAGGTGAATGTCAGTGCATGTGATCTGACTTGCATAAAGAGGAATTTCTGTTTTCTCTTGAATGGTATTTGTTCATAATCTGGTGACTGCCTGTTTATTGTAGTGCCCTTTGGGGGTTTGCCTCTTTCCCCTCATGTTTTTAAATTTCCTAACCCATTCCTGATATCAGACATTTCTCTTTCTGGTAGGTTTAATGATGAGGATATCTGCACATGTCCAGAAACATCTGTCACCCAGCAGTTTTCCTCTGTTCCATGGAATTCTTTCAGCAGAGATGTTCTCAAATCCTTGTATGACTTTGCTCCAATTTCTGTGCACTGCAACAAATCCTCTGCAGTCCGTTTTCCGGTAGGCACAGGATGCAAGTCAATGAAAACCATGCAGGCAGCTCCATAGAATGCTTAGACAGTATCGTGTTTCCTTGGCTTCTGTGTGGGGCAATGCAAGATCACCAGGCCCAAAACGCACCATTGCAATCCATCTTCCCAAAGCCTCTGTGCTCCCCAAATGTGCTGGACTGCACTGCCTATTATTCCCAGCTAGCATGGTTACACTGGCTGGAAATGATGGGCCACGTAGTCCATCTGGAAAGGCTGAGTTCTTTAACCAGTGGTGCAGAAATGTCCCTTTATTTGGTTTCTCTACCCAGTGATATTCCTGTTTGGGACCATTATTAAAGGTGCTCTTTATTTTTAAAGAAATGATGAAAGTAGGGCTCATGAAAAGTGTTTTGCAACAAATGAATTCAGCAACGGAGCAGTTTGCCTCAAGAGGTGGTGGATGCATCTTTGCTGGCAATATCCAAGCAGTGGCTGAGGGGCCACTTGTCAGGGATGCCGCAGCTCCACCCTCCGGTGCAGGGCCTGCCTTGAGCAGGGGAGTGGCTTCGATGGTTTCCAGGGTCACTTCCCACTCTGCAAGTCCCCAGAATTCCATAGATGCAAATGGCTGATGCAGAACTTCAAGCCCCTGGAAAATTGCCTCCTGTGTTTTCATGTTAGGCAACACGGAGGACAGGGCAGAACTTCGAGCCAAGGTGCTGAGCTGGGGTTTCCCAGCTGGAACCAAGTTTTTAGAAAGACAGGAATCATCAACAACACTGTCACGTAATCCCAGTCCAGCTGGTCTGGCACCCCAGAGCAGCCTAACTCACAGAACCTTTTGCTGTCTCAGGAGTGCTATTGAGCTGGCCAGATCACCCGCAGAAGCTCAACCATCTCTCTGGGGTTTTGGTTTACCAATATTGGGGTTAAGAATAAATGTTCCTGTTCCTGCTTAGTTCACAGGAATAACTGTCCCTTCTTTGTTAATCACGTGACTGCTACTTTCATCACAAAAACTTGCTTCTGACCTCCCAGTTTACAGTTCTCTCCCCAGTATGCACTGCATGAAAACATCTGATGAAGGGGACATTTAGGTTCATGCTGAGTTAAATTGGTTGCAAGGTGTTGCAAGATGCTGCTGCTACAAATATCTGTCCTCCAGTCTCAAAAGGTCTCCCTTGTCTCTACAGGGAGAATGGGAGAAGCAGCCACTGCCAAAGATCATGGAGGCACTGCCAGAGCCTGCCCTGCACTGCGACCGCAGCTTGGGCCACCCTGCAGCTTCCCCAACTGTGGTCCACCTTCACGAGGCAGAGGCGAATTAAGAGCTGGGCCTGACCTGGTGAAGGCAGCCGTCAGCTTGCTTCAGCCCAACCTGGATCTCTCCCACTGCAGCAGCTGCCCAAGACTTACAGCCCCACTTGCAACTTGGATCATTAAACTAACTATGTTCTACTACAGTCCATGGAAGGACCGCAGCACTTGGTTTAATCATAGCTACCCGCTTATTTGTGCCAGGGATAAAGGGTGGGGAACCGAGTGGATGCCCGTTTCACGGAAGGTCTGCCATTCTGGCCTTGTTGAAAATCTGCATGTCTCTGGAGGAGGAGGAGAAGTGTAGCTGGTGATGACAGCATTAAGAAGTCTTGCTCACTGAGGAAAGGGGCTTTGGAGGAAATCCCCCCCCCACCAAAAAACATTGTGTTCAGCAGTGCTTCTGGGTTCTCCTACCCCAATGACTCCAGTTTCTGCAGTGAGACGTTTTATCCTTCCTCATTTGTGCTCCAAGTTGCACCCATTCTTCCACCTTGGACCAGTGGGAATCCCTCATCTTCATTTTTCTCCAGCTGTGACCTGTGCTCAAGCATTTCTGCCTGTCTGATGTACAAGGATGGGTATCCACATCAAATCTTTCTATAAACCCTGATGGCAATCTAAAGCTGGGTCAGTTCTTTGTATATTCGGTTACCCAATTTCCTCTTTTTGTTATTGTTATTAATTTATGAATTACCGGAATGCCTGTTGGAAAATGCCCATTTTTTTTCAGAAGCCCAGTGGGGTGGTGTGCAGAGGGCAGACACTGTGCCACTAAGGGCCTAATTGCACCATGCCTCCACGACACTTCCCTCTCTTCCCAGGAAATGCCTGTGCAGAAGGACAACAGGGGCCACAAAGATGGGCACTCTCTTTCCCAGGCTCTATGCAGTGGTTCAGTTTGGAGGTTTCTCCAATCCAGACCTTGTGCTCTGTGACAAAGCCCATGTGTGTGCTGGGCTAATGAAGAAGACCACGAAGAACTTGGAAAACAGGAGAAGTGCCAGACAACAAGAGAAGGGCTAATGTTGTCCCTATCTTCAAAAAGGAGGAAAAAGCTGGCAACTATAGACCAGTTACTCTGACATCTATCCCTGGAAAAATTCTGGAGCAAATTATTAACAAATCCATCTGCAAGCATCTTGAAGAAAATGCAGTGATTAATAGAAGCCAGCATGGATTTAGAAACATAGAAACAGAAACAGAGCGAGTCAGCTAGTCTGACCTCCAGCTCCACTCACGACATGCCCACCATGTGCATGTCCAGCCTATCTTTGAACACCCTCACCGAAGGGGCCTCAACCAACCTCCCGTGGAAGCCCATTCCACACCCTCGGGGTCCTGACTGTCAGGAAGTGCTTCCTGGCATCCAAAGGAAATCTTGGGTTCCCTGAGCTTTGCTCCATTGGAGCGCGTCCTGCCTTCCTCTGCAGGGGAGAACAGGTCTCTACCCACCTCCATGTGACATCCCCTCACATACCTGTATGTGGCCAACAGATCCCCTCTGAGTCTCCTCTTTTCCAGGCTGAAACGACCCAGTTCCCCCAGTCTCGCCTCATATGGCTTCCCCTGCAAACCGGCCACCAACCTTGTGGCCCTACTGACTCTAACCTGGCTATATCCTTCCTGTAATGTGGAGCCCAGAACTGAACACAATCAAAATAAATCCTGTCAGACTAATTTAATCTCATTTTTTGACTGGGCAACCTCACAAATAGACAAAGGGAACACTCTGGATATAATCTACCTAGATTTCAGCAAAGCATTCAACATAGTGTCACATAACATTCTGATAAGCAAATTAGCAAAAACTGGACGAGATGATAAAACTATTAGGTGGATCCAAAATTCGCTGCTGAATTGGACACAAAGGGTGCTCATCAATGGCACTTTCTTAAATTGAATGGAGGTAACTAGGGGGTGCCACAGGGTTCTGTCCTGGGCCCAGTGTTCTTCAACTTCTTTATTAATGATTTATTTATTACAAGGATTTATATCCTGTCCTTCCAAGTAAGCACTCAGGATGGCTTACATTGACGAGGAAGTACAATGAAAAACAATCAATTTTGCAGGAGGTCAACAGGAATGTTTACACAGAGTAGCAGCAGAGGTGGAGAAACACTGCTCATCTATACTGAGCTGGAAGCAGCTTTAAAAGGGAGGTTCTGAGTACCACTTTCTTGGGTGTTGGGTGTGTTTTGGTCCAAGGAAGAAATGGGTGGGCGTGGCTGCGAGCAATTGGGCACAGCCAAAATGCAGTAATTGCTGGCCTCCCCTTGCTTCAAGCCTTTTCTGCTATTAACAAGCCCTCAGGCAAGGCATTTCAGCCTTTTCTGGGAGGGAAACTGTACAACAGCCAGGGCAGATGACCAGGAGGAAGGGGCAAGTAGCTACCTTGCAAACCCCTTTTCCAGCATGAAACAGGATGGGATGAGAGTCACCTATCCAAGTCTTTCATACAGTTTATTTAATGTAGAATCTGGATTAATTAAAAATTGTTTGCAGTCTTTCACTGCTAGCTGCCTTGGGCATCAGTTTGGGGTGGAAACATGGGTGAAAAATTTATTGCCTGAAAGCCTGAAGAAAAGCAGCTACCTATCCCCTTCTGCAGAAAGGGGAAAAGCCCCTGAGGTCAGAGGCCCTCTTAGAAAGCCATTATTTGCTCTTCCTTGACTCTGGGCTGCAAGCACCAGGGAAAGAGGGCTTCTCTCTTTCTGGGATGGTTCCTTCAGGGAGGGACTGTGGCTCAGTGGCAAGATCAGCAAAATCAGGTTTGATGCTCAGTCCAAGGCAGCTTCTGGGTTTCCTGCTACCTGCACCCCTGCCCAGTCTTGGAAGTAAAGAAGTAAAGAAAAATGGTTCTTCTGCAAACACTGGCTTAATTTACAGGGAAAGCCCAACAGGTGATGCAGTCAGCTTTTATGTTGCTGTAATACTGGTAAAAAGGGGCAGAATGCCAAAGGAATTTCTGCATGTGGAGCAGGGGATTGGCCATCAGATATCCACTGATGTCGGGGTACAGGAGACCACCAGAAGGTCTGGCAAGGCTATTACCACTCACAGCAATGAGGCAGGTTATCTGTGCTCAGCTGATAGTGAAAATTGAAACCTTCATGCTCTGCTTGAGAATCTGCAAAGGCATCTGGCTTGACCATGCGGAAAACTGAATACAGTGGTCTCTTGGCTCATGAACTTAATCCATTCCAAGACTCTGGTCATGACCCAAATTGGTCATGAGCCATGTTAAACTTCCCCATAAGGTTCAATGCAAATAAGGCTACTTTTTTTTAATCAGAAAAATGTGAAGCAATGTGACAAAGAACAACAAAGATTGCGGCCATCTCCCCATCCCCCCCAGCATCCCTGCATGCGCCCGTCATCCCGGTACGCTGGGGGGTGGGGGAGGAGACAGGCATGATCGTGGGCATGCTGGGGGGGGGGAGATGGGGGTGAACGCAGGTGCACTTGGGGGGGCAGGAGATGGGCGCAATCGTGCTGCAGGGGGAGTTGCTCTCGTGCAGGAAAGATGAGCGCGATCTGGTCCTCTCCCCCCTCCCCCGGCCAATCATGGCCATCTCCCCTCTCAGTGGGGGGGGGGGGATGGCTGCGATTGCAGTCACCACCCAATGCGGAGTTCACCACCTGAGTCAAAATTTTTATGAAATTTTTGTTCGCGACCCAATTTGGTCACGAACTGAGGCGTTTGTGAGCCGAGGTACCACTGCACTGGGCCAGCTGGACCTCCTGTGGCCTGATCCAGCCCAAGGGCTCTTCATATGTTTGCAGGGTGCTGTGGGAACTGCAGAAATATTGGTGCCTAACAGCTGGCCTTTCCCAGCATTCTCACACTCTCTCAACTTTTCACCAGAGGTCTTTGCCTGCCCAGCTCAGTAGATCCCTTTCACTCTCTTGTTCTCTGGATCGAAGAGAGATTTTGTGTGGGCTTTGGCAGGATAGGAAACCCCCATCCTTTCTAACTTGTATTCACCGGTTTTCACAAATTCAAGGGAGACCTGGGGAGGAGACAAGTAAAACAGTTTTCCATTAATTTGCACTCACGTATGGATTGACCGATCAGTCAGTCAGTCAGTCAGTCAGTCAGTCAGTCAGTCAGTCATTGTTGGAGCCACATGTGCCTCAGTACTTGCAGGCTTTACCCAGCTAGCTACTATGAACTTAGCTTACTTCTTAAGGAAGTTTTATAGGCTACAACATTGTTGCCACTCTTTATGGATCATAAACAGCAAAGTTGTTGCTCCACAGGACCATAAACTCTGAGTGATGGAGGAGTTCCAGTTGCCCATCTGGGACTCTCCACAAACCAGTTCTATGGATGGCTTAGAATTCCAGTGCTCAGTGGGAGGAACCCTTCCTCTCTCCACAACTTTTGCCCTAACCCTTCCTTTCCAAGCCAAGCCCTTCTCTTCACCCATAAGGGCAATCCTTTCAGGTCCCTCCACCATTCTGATTCCCCTTTGCCCAGTGCACTGAAACTGAGAAAAGGTGACCAAGCAGCACATCAGGATGTTAAACCTCAGGCTTGTAGGCCAAATCTGAGATGTGCTTCAGTTCACCCTGAAAGACTTCACTCCACTTCAATTATTTGGTGGCTTTTGCCCAGTTTTCTTCTCCCATTGTAAAGGGTCAACATATCTCCTAAGGCAAAATTATTGGCAGGCTGGTATTTGTGTCCCTGTTCCTACTGCCCTCAGCCCCATTCACTGCGTGACTGTGGGTCCTGAGAGAATCTCTGAAATTCGCTTTCAGAACCCTACAGCACAGAGTGTTTCAAGCAAGACTGCAGCCACGGTAGCCCCTTTCCCTTCTTAGAGATCCTTCACCGTTGACCTTTTTGATGGCCCAGCTTCTCTTTGCAAACAGTTCCCATATCCATACTGGGGGGCCTCTCAGAGTCAAATATTCTTCATTCTCTCACAGTTACAATTAACACACAAATCAGGCACAGGTTCTCATTCAGAGGAGGGAAAAGCAGGCTGACACAAGATGCATCTGTTTAGTGAATGCTGCAGGCCTGACCGAGTCTGCCCTGTTAGATACGAGAGGACCAGGACCACAGCTGCCTGTGGTACCCCTCCCAGTGGCTTTAGTTAGGGGCTAGTCTTGCATGAACAAAGGCACACGGTCTTAGGAGGCAGAGTCCCTTCCAGGCAAAAAGCAATCCTTCTGTCATTTAGAAAAATAAGAACATAGCGAGTCAAAAGGGGCTTCCTGGGCCATCTAGTCTGACCCCCGACTCTAGCTGGCTCTGCTCATGACATGTCCACCATGTGCATGTCTAGCTTATCCTTGAACATCCTCACCGATTGGGCTTCAACCACCTCCTGTGGAAACCCATTTCATACCCTAGGGCAGACATGTCCAAAGTCCGGCCCGGGGGGCCAATTGCGGCCCATTTTCAAATTTCGAGCGGCTCGCAGCCTCTTCTTCCTGCCAGCTCAGCCTGTCACTCATCCCCGCCGGCCGGCATTTTTCCCTTCACTGCACAGTGGTTCCCGCAGCTGTCCCCTGCTGCCTCCTACTCCTTCAAGGCTGGTGGTTATATTTCACCGGAAGAGGGCAGTAGACCTGAGTCAGCACTCTTGCCATGTGACCCTTGTGACACAAGCCTTGTGTGCCCATTTCTAAAATGGCGACTGTAACTAAAAAAAGGAAAGTTGACAGCGAGGGCCACTGCTTCCAGGACAAGTGGAAATTGGAGTATTTTTGGAATACGAAACAACTATGTCTGCCTAATTTGCCAAGAGACTGTGGCTGTTTTCAAGGAATTCAATATCAAGAGGCACTACTAGATGAAACATGCTAACTACAACAAGCTAACTGGGAAGGAACACGGTGAAAAATTGAAGGAACTGGAAGCTGCTTTAATGGCACAGCAGCGCTTTTACACAAGAGCCCGTGAGTCAAATGAAAATGCCACAAAGGCGAGCTACGAGGTGGCAATGCTGATTGCCAAGCACCACAAACCTTTTACTGAGGGTGAATTTATTAAAGACTGCGTGATGAAAATGGTGGAGAAAATTTATCCTGAGAAGAAGCAAGAGTTTGCCGATGTTTGCCTGGCTCATAACACTGTGGTACAGAGAATTGAAGACGTTTCATCTGATATTAAGAGACAGTTAGAGGCAAAAGGAGTGGCGTTTGACTTTTTTTCATTAGCCTGTGACGAAAGCACGGATGCATCTGACACCGCTCAGTTATTGATTTTTTTGAGAGGAGTGGACAATGACATGAACGTGAGTGAACACCTACTTGACCTCCAGAGCCTTAAGGACCAAACAAGAGGAACAGATTTATTTGTTTCTGTTTGCTCCACCGTAGATGACATGAAACTACCATGGAATAAAGTCACTGGGATTATCACGGATGGCACACCTGCCATGGCTGGCGAGCAAAGTGGATTATCACCCCTAGTCTGTAACAAAGTCAGTGAAGGAGGCAAAGCTATAAAACTCCACTGTATTATTCACCAACAAGTTCTCTGTGCCAAACATCTGAAATATGATCATGTTATGAAACCGGTGATGAAGGCTATTAATTATATTCGCTCCAAAGCCCTGTGCTACCACCAGTTTCAAAAGTTTCTACTCGACATCCAGGCTGAATACGGAGATGTTGTGTATCACAACAAGGTAAGATGGCTCACTCGGGGGTCTGCACTGCAGCACTTCTACTCTCTCAGGGAGGAAATCAGACAATTCTTGGCAAAAAAGGGACAACCGATGCCAGAGCTATCTGATCCTGTTTGGCTGGCTGATTTTGGATTTTTAGTTGACATAACACGACATCTGAACGTGCTGAACACGAGCCTTCAGGGGCAAAATGCCCCTGTAGCCAACTGTATTCACATATCAAAGCCTTTGGGACCAAGCTGCTACTTTTCCAAAGGCATCTGTCACAAACGCAGCCCAGTACCACACATTTCTGCAGGATGCTGCAGGAAATAGTGACCAGTTTTCCGCAGAACAATATGAGTGCGCAAATAAGGAGGTATGAAGCGGACATCTCATCTCTGGCTGAGGCGTTTCAACAGCACTTTCGGGATTTTGCAGCTATTGAAAAGGAGATCAGGCTTTTTTCATCTCCTTTTCTCTGTGGACCCTGATGATGCTCCAGACCACCTGCAGCTGGAGCTCATTGACTGTCGCAGTCGGCACCAACAGCTCCCTCTTGTCAACTTTTACCGCCAGCTGGATACAGACAGGTTCCAAGAGATTCGAACATTTGCTAAGAAAATGCTGAGCTTGTTTGGTTCGACATACTTGTGCGAGAAGACATTCTCAGTTATGAACATTAACAAGAACCGTGTGAGGATGAGACTAAGTGACTTTCACCTGCGTGACATTTTGCGCATCACAACCACTGTTTTGAGCCAGACCTGGCCTATATAATGCAGTCAGGATCTCAGTATCACCCTTCACATTACTGCAGTTAAGTTATTTGTTTAGTCTTTCATAAAATAGTTCATTTGCATTTAATGTTAATGGTTCAAAGAATGTCAGGCTGAATGGTCGGCCCCACACATTTTCACCTCACCAAATCTGGCCCTCCTTGCAAAAAGTTTGGACACCCCTGCGCTAACTGTCCAAACTGTCAGGAAGTGGTTCCAGGCATCCAAATTGAAGCATGGTTCCTTGAGCTTGGCTCTGCTGGAGCACATCCTGCCCTCCTCTGCAGGGGAGAAGAGGTCTCTGCCCACCTCCATGTGACACCCCCTCACATACCTGTATGTCACCAACAGATCCCCTCGGGGTCTCCTCTTCTCCAGGCTAAAGAGATCCAATTCCCTCAGTCTCTCCTGATACAAACCGGCCACCAACCTTGTGGCCCTATGTTGCACTGACACTAACCTGGCTATATCCTTTCTGTAATGAGGGGCCCAAAACTGAACACAATACTCCAGTTGCGGGCGCACCGGAGTCGTATAGAGTGGTAGTAATACCTCTCTCGATCTGGAATCCACACTTCTGGCTATGCAATCAAGGGTGGCGTTCGCCCTCTTGGCCACCGCATCGCACTGCTGACTCATGTTTAGCCTGCAGTCGCCCAGCACCCCGAGGTCCCTTTCACAAGTGCTGCTCTCCAGCCACTTGTCCCCTAACCTGTACTTATGACAGCTATTCCTATGCTCCAAGTGCAAGACCTTGCACTTACCCACATTGAACTCCATCCTGTCCACTTCCATAATCTATCCAGATCCTTTTGGATCTGGAGTACCTGCTCCTCAGTTGTGGCCACTGCTCCAGTTTTAGTGTCGTCTGCGAATTTGATCAGCAGACTGTTCATCCCTTCTTCCATGTCATTAATGAAAAGATTAAACGGGATCAGCCCCAGGACAGAGCCCTGGGGGACCCCGCTTGTCACTGGCTGCCATCCTGATGATTCCCCACTAATGGTTACCCTCTGCTTTCGGTCAGTCAACCATGCCCTAATCCACCGGACAGTGCTTTGGTGTATCCCAAAACTCCTCAGTTTCCCCACCAGGATATCATGGGGCACTTTGTCAAAGGCCTTGCTGAAATCCAGGTAAACCACATCCACTGCATCCCTTCCATCCAGCCACCTCGAAACCTTGTCATGGAATTCCACAAGGCTTGTCTGGCAGGACCTGTTTTTGCGGAAGCCGTGTTGTGTGGCTGCCAGCCTCCCTTCCCTATCTAGCATCACTAGATCTCTCTCTATTATGAGCCTTTCCATTTTTTTCCTGCTGTGAATGTAAGGCTAACTGGGTACTTTTCAGGGTACTTTCAGGTGGACATCAAAAAATCAGGGGAAAATCCTTGGTGGCCAATCAGTTAGGCCTTTGGGGGGATTCCATTTTAGCCAGCTAGGTAGAATTCTCTTGGACCCTTTTGGATCTCCAGTCAGTTTGCAACGCTGTCAGGTAATAATTTCTTAACCACTTCTAAAAAGATGTGGATTTCTGAAATCTTCACCCAGTATATCAGGAATATGTGGGACTGAACACCAAAGGCTTGCTCAAGTCCTAGTATGTCTAGGAAGGCCCTTTCTGGGGTGAGTGCAGGTGTAGCCTGCCCTTTGGCACGCTATTTTCTCCATACTCACTGGCATTCCTTCAGGATCACAGATGTACCCATATGCAACACTTCTGTTGATAGCATGCCCAAAGTCTGCCCTGCGGACATGCCCCACAACGCGGCCATTTCTCCAGATGGCCTCCAGGCCAAACAGGGGCAGCTTTCTAAAAGACAGAGAGAAAACTTGTGGGTTTGCGGATGATTGTGATTCTGGGACAGCAGCAGCAAGGCCAGACTTTGCATGGCAAGCTGCAAAAGCAGGAACTGCTAGAAAGAGTGATCTGTATGGCTGACCAAATAGTTGCAAAAAGACACTTGCTGCTTTTCCAATTGAACTATTTAAATTCTGAATGTGATTCTAATTTACTTTTTCAGTGTGAAACTGCTTCAGCATCAAAGTGTTGTTGGCATCTCATGATTATTTTGGCCAGCTTCAAACATGAGACCTTCATCAGCTATTAGATATAATGCTAAGCATATTCCTAATAGCTGTGTGTGTTTGTGGGAAATCCAATGTCACTGAATATTAACTTTTAAATAAAGTGGCTTGCTGAATTGGTGAAGACTACAATGTGCTAATGCACTGTAAAATTTGCCTAATGGAAATATCAGATTTTCAGCAAATATCTGGAGAATGTGTGATATCAAAATCTGTAGAGGTCACTGAATGGGGGAGGCTTCAGGGTCTAGAGAGACCGTTTAGGGATTAATGCAATTAAGTGCCATTGGAAAGTGTGCAAAAAGCCCTGCTCACACGCCGGTCACTTGCTACTCACTCATCGATGGTGAAGCAGACCAGACGGCGGAATATTCCAGCTGCTCTCTGGGCCTCCATGGCTTCCCGTCCAAGGAAAGGGATGTCTGATTTAAGTTTGCACGTGAAGGCCAAGCCTGCTTCCAGGGGGCTGTCATCAGAGCGGAGGTCAGCATGCCAGTGCCTGTAACCTGGCAGAAGAACAACAGTCACAGGCAAATCTTCCCCGAGTGCCTCAGAAAACAGTCCTCAGAAGGTGTTCAGGGGGAATGCAGGGCTGAGCTCAGCCTGTGAGAGTGGGTTTGAGGGGGTGACTAATGGGTGGTGAAACCAGGCAATCGTCGCTGATGGAGCACTAATGAAAGGCCTGCCAAAAGACCCTGAAGCGGCCCATTCAAAGCGAATCCCTGGACAACAGATGGGGCGAGGCACAGAAATCATCCAGTTGCAGCAGGGCAACTGGCATTCAGATTAGCCCTCTGGTAAGTGACATTTCCCAGGACGCCTCGTGTCTAGCATGTTACAAAGCAGCGCTCCAAGTCTTGAGGGAGGAGGAGGAAGAGGGGACCCCCTTCCTCCCTTTGTGTCATGAGCTTCGCTGGAGGAGCAGTAACTTCTGGAAGCAAGCTGAACTGAGCAGCCACCCATGACTAGGCTCCTGGAGCCTGACCAGAAGGGGCTGCACCTGTGCAGGAATTTTCATAGGAACATAAAAACGTAGAAATGGAGTGAGTCAGACGGGGCCTCCCAGACCACCTAGTCTGACCCCCGGCTCCAGCCAGCTCTGTTCATGACATGCCCACCATGTGCATGTCCAGCCTATCCTTGAACACCCTCACTTCCCGGGGAAGCCCACTCCATACCCAAAGTATTTTTATCTGTGCTCTTCTCCCTGCAAGAGGAGAGTCAAGGCTGAGAAACTGCTATTCCTGCTACTCAGGAGACGTGCCAGGAGCATTTCTGAAGGAAGTGTTCAGTTGCAGAAGAAGGCTCCTTCTTCCAGAGGCCTCCAAAGTGCTACCGCTTCACTTGCTTATATAGTTAACAGGGTGACCACCCTGCAGACTTTTAAGATGCCAAGCGTCAAAGTCTGCCCCTTCTGGAGTATGAAAGAGTCTGCCACAACTTAGACCAACTAAATTCAAAGTCCCGGCTAAGCACCTTAGTCCCAGGCATTAGACTCTCCAGAAATGGTTAGCTCCCCTCCAAGTATCAGAGAAACTACAAAACCTACATACATGCTGGGCCCCTTTGGAAATGAGGAAAAGTAGTGGGGTTTTTTAGGCAAGCCAGGGTACTTAAACAGAGTGAAAGTGCTAAGTTCAGCACCCTAAAGACACTGGGATAAATGTACTGTCTTGGAATACATGGTGTTGCTGAAAGGGTTAGTTCTTCTGTGTAATCTTGCCACCTCTTCTTAATCTCTTCTGCCTCTGTTAGGTCCCTGCCATTTTGGTCCTTTATCATGTCCATCTTTGCATGAAACGTTCCCTTCATATCTTCAATTTTCTTGAAGAGATCTCTGGTCCTCCCTATTCTATTGTTTTCTTCTATTTCTTTGCACTGTTCGTTTAAGAAGGCATTCTTATCTCTTCTAGCTATTCTCTGGAATTCTGCATTCAATTGGATGTATCTTTCTCCTTTGCCTTTTGCTTCCCTTCTTTCCACAGCTATTTGTAAAGCTTCCTCAGACAGCCATTTTGCTTTCTTGCATTTCTTTTTCTTTGGGATGGTTTTAGTTGCTACCTCTTGTACAATGAGGTGAACCTCCGTCCATAGTTCTTCAGGCACTCTGTCTATCAGATCTAATTCCTTCAATCTATTTGTCACCTCTACTGTACATTCACCAGGAATATGATTTAGGTCATACCTGAGTGGCCTAGTGCTTTTCCCTACTTTCTTCAATTAAGCCTAAATTTTGCAATGAGAAGCTCATGATCTGAGCCACAGTCAGCTCCTGGTCTAGTTTTTACTGACTATATAGAGCTTCTCCATCTTTGGCTGCAGAGCACATAGTCAATCTGATTTTTGTGTTGACCGTCTGGTGATGTCCATGTGTAGAGTCGTCTCTTGGATTGTTGGAAAAGAGTGTTTGCTATGACCATCGTATTCTCTTGACAGAATTCTACCAGCCTGTGCCCTGCTTCATTTTGTACTCCAAGGCCAAACTTGCCTGTTATCTTTTGGCTTCCTACTTTAGCATTCCAATCCCCCATGATGATAAGGACATCATTTTTTTGTGTTCATTCTAGAAGGTGTTGTAGGCCTTCATAGAACTGGTCAACTTCAGCCTCTTCAGCACCAGTGGTTGGGGCATAGACTTGGACTATTGTGATGTTGAATGGTTTGCCTTGGATTCGAACTGAGATCATTCTGTCATTTTGGAGATTGTATCCCAGTACTGCTTTTCCTACTCTTTTATTGACTATGAAGGCTACTCCACTTCTTCTGAGGGATTCTTGCCCGCAGTAGTATCCCTGATGGTCATCTGAACTGAATTCACCCATTCCTGTCCGTTTTAGTTCACTGATTCCTAACATGTCAATGTTCAGTCTTGTCATCTCTTGTTTGACCACATCCAGCTTGCCTTGATTCATGGATCTCACATTCCAAGTTCCTATGGAATATAGATCTTTGCAGCATCGGACATTCCTTTTACCACCAGATACATCTGCAACTGAGTGTCCTTTCGGCTTTGACCCAGTTGCTTCATTCTTTCTGGCGCTACTAGTACTAGCCCTCTGCTCTTTCCCAGTAGCACATTGGACACCTTCCGACCTGAGGGACTCATCTTCCGGCATCATATATCTTTGCCTGTTGATAGTGTCCATGGGGTTTTCATGGCAAAGATACCGGAGTGGGTTGCCATTTCCTTCTCCAGTGGAGCACGTTTTGTCAGAGCTCTCTGCTATGACCTGTCTGTCTTGGGTGGCCCTGCATGGCAGAGCTCGTAGCTTCATTGAGCTACGCAAGCCCCTTCGCCATGACAAGGCAGTGATCCATGAAGGAGTTGTTCATGTCACTTTCCTGAAAACTCATCTCATGCTGGTCAATGTCTATATATCACCCAGCTCAAAAAAATCACTGGTAACTGCTAAGCAAGCAGAACTTGAGAATTATATTGAATCTCTTTAACTGTCCTATCCTGATGCAATATTATCATTGCTGGAGATATCAATACCCACGTTATGAACAGATTCTGGGCTCAGATGTCTACCTAAAATGAGGCTTTTTTCAATAGTCCAAGGATGTTCGATATAATTATTCTGGGTTCTGCCTAGCCCAATTTGTAAGAATGAGATCTTACAATTTTCAGTGGCACAGCAGATGGTGATTGACTGGGACAATATACCCATTTTACTAGCTCTGGAAGAGTAGAACTGATTGTACTGCAATCTCTCACTTTGTGTACAAAGAGCATTACTGGGTCTGAGATTGATTTTATCATAGAAAATGATCATCTTCATTGAACAATGATACTAGCATGGCCTGAAAAGCCAGCGTGTCTCTAATGCAGAGCTAGCTTTAACTACTGGCAGGGAAATTAAGTGGACCCCTGCTGTGGACTCAGCCATAAATCACCTCCTACAGAGAGAGGACCTAGGAGCCACCTGTGCTGCAATCATTTCTACTGCTTCTGAGGATATAAATCAATACTATGTCTGATAGATTACAACACCAATTGAGATCTAATAGGAAGAACAGCTTAAGGGAAACTCAAGCACTGTATAGCTGGCATGACAACAAGGCCAAAAGTGTGGCAAGACTTTTTTCTTAAGTATAGGCACTCCAGTTCAGGCCTTTTGACTAATGAATATGCTTCCCTTAGGCAAAAGTATAAACTCCTGATAAAATGGAAAAAACAACAACTTGAGAAACAAGCATAGCAGATGTTAATAAAGGCCTCCCATGACAGGGATGTCAACTTTTTTTGCTGTACAACAGCAGGTTAGTGTTCCTGCTCACTAATGTGAGCACCCTGGAATGGAGTGTAACACACAGTAGTGAAATCACCATGGCCAGGAAAAAGGTTAGATTTCCTGTTTCCAGAGAGGGAGGGGGACATTGATGAATTGAACTTTGCATGAACTGTTACTGAAAAGTCAGCATAATCTCCACTTGAGATGGTGCCCAGGACTGGTTTTGAATCTGAATACAAGTAACAAAATGTATTATGAACTACCGGTAATGCAACAGCATCAAAATAGTAGGACTAGCCAAGAGATAATTGGTGGACATGAGAGAAGGAAGATTCTTTTTGTAAAGCGCCCTAGGGGGAACTTATTGGTGTACTGAACATTATCGGGGATTCTGGGTTCTGATTTAGGGAATATAATGTATGCTTTTGGGAACTTAGAAACCAAGCCTGGGGAACAGAAAGGAGGGCAAGGAGAGGTTTGCAGTCCCTGCCACTCATGGGTCAAGAGTGTGACAACAGATGTAGCCACGGTTTTGCCTCTTCTTGCTTAGCTCTTCCAGCATCCTTCATCCCTTTGGTGAGGCATGGATCAGGCCTGTGGCCGTCAAGAAGGTTTTGAATGATCCCATGTGGCAGGTGTCACAACAGGGACGCTGTTAACCAGGCAGATGAGATAGGAAGACATGAGCTGAATTTCAGAAAAGTTGGAGGCTAGAGTCAAAAATGAAATCACATGGGAACATGTGCCCACTCTCCTTGAGCGCTCAGCAGTGATAAGTGGGCCCTGGACACTATTTTTAATTTAAATCTGTTTTCATTTGAAAGGGTAGGTTAATTTTATGTGATGACTGCTTTGTGTGTTGTAACTTGTGTTGGGAACGGTGGTCTGAAGTATTTCATTCTGCTGATTTATTATTCTTAGATATCACTGTATTTTATAATGCTTTTGAAGTGATTGTGGTTTGGAAACATATATTCTCAAAAGTTACATATACATTTTGGAAGGGGTATTTCCTTCTTTATTTTCAATGAGTTGAATCCAGATTTTGTCATACATAGAGATCACTGGAGATCATTCCAGTGGACTTCGAACTTAAGTTAATCATGACAAACTGAAGTCCCAGTAATTTCAATGGGAGCATTTGAAGTGTGATTATATCTGGATCCCACCCATCTTTTCTATACCTTCCATCAACAAAAGCTCCCTGGGAAGTTTACAAATAGGAGGTAAAACTGCACAGGATCAACATAAAACACAGATTTTAAAAAACCGAACACAGTTAAAGCAGCAACAAGAAACAGTTGTGCAAAGTTTTCAGGAAGCACCAAACCAGCAAACTGAAAAGCCTGGGAGACAAAAAAGGACATCAGCTGAGGCCAAAAGAACAGCGACGCCAACCTCTCTGAGGAGGGTGTTAAACAACGGGGGCCCTTCCCCAGGTTCTAGTGAGGCCCGTGCACTGACCCAGCATGGCTTTGTGTTTCGTTTCACAGAGTTCCGCCTTCTCTCTGGGGGTGTCCTGCATTTGAAAAGGTGCCTAGACCAGATCTGTCGGGAAGTCAAGGAACCATAAGGACGGTGATGGGCAGAAAAGTGTCCCGAGCTCTATCCATGGGTAGCTGCACCTGGACAGCAGTCTGGGCACATGCAGAGCAACTGGTCACTGTCTTCTCCACTATGGCATGACATAGTCTATTTAGCTTATACTTATTCCCTCCGAATTTGCACCTATATACAAGTAGACATTTGCATATGGAAAAGTTACAGTCATTAGAGTCTTCTTTCCTAACCTATGCGGCATACCTGGTGTTCTGGGCTGAATCTTATTCTGAACCAGTAACATGCCTTTGCATTTTTGTGTTTTCACCGCTCTGCTCTGCTCCAGGCCTAAAGATAGACTTTCAGCTTTTTTTCTGCTTGAGGAAAATGTGATTCAAACTTTGTTCCCATTTTCAGTCCAGGTTCAAGTTCAGTTTGACCAGCTGGACGACAGACCCCACAATGACAGCCCGTCTCCAGGTCCGTGTTGTGGAGACACTCATGTCTTTCTGCTCACCTTTTTCAATACTGAGAGAGTCAATAGCCCTGTAGCCAGCATTGGTGACGCCATGCTTGGCCCCAGCCTGCATGACCGAGCGGTAGACCTGGACACAGCGCTCCTTGGGCACATGCAGCTCCCAGCCCATCTCCCCCACAAACGACAGTCTCATGGCTCGGACCTGGCAGGCAAACCAAGAGAGTGGGAAAGAATCCAGTTAGGAGGGAATTCTGACATCCACTTGCCATCCCAGACACATTCCCTTTGGACTCCTTGGAGGACTCACATGACTGAGGGTAACCAGTAGCAGGGAATCATCAGGGTGGCGACCAGTGACAAGCGGGGTCCCCCACGGCTCTGTCCTGGGGCCGATCCTGTTTAATCTTCTCATTAACAACATGGAAGAAGGGGTTTTAGTATCATCTGCTGATTAAATTCGCAGATGATACTAAAACTGGAGCAGTGGCCACAACTGAGGAGCAGGTACTCCAGATCCAAAAGGATCTGGACAGACTATGGAAGTGGGCAGGAGACAACAGGATGGCGTTCAATGTAGGTAAGTGCAAGGTCTTGCACTTGGGGCATAGGAATAGCTGTCATAAGTACAGGTTAGGTGATAAGTGGCTGGAGAGCAGCCCTTGTGAAAGGGACCTCAGAGTCCTGGTCGACTGCAGGCTGAACATGAGTCAGCAGTGTGATGCCGTGGTCAAGAGGGCGAACACCACCCTTGATTGCATAGCCAGAAGTGTGGCTTCTAGGTCGAGAGAGGGATTACTGCCGCTCTATACATCGCCGGTTCACCTGCAACTGGAGTATTGTGCTTGGTTCTGGACTCCACATTACAGGAAGGATATAACTAGGTTAGAGTCAGTGCAACGTAGGGCCACAAGGATGGTGGCCAGATTGCAGGGGAAGCTGTATGAGGTCAGACTGAGGGAGCTGCAGAAGAGGAGACTTCAAGGGGATCCGTTGGTGACATATAGGTATGTGAGGGGGTGTTGCACAGAGTTGGGTAGAGACCTGTTCTCCCCTGCAGAGGAGGGCAGGGCGCATTCCAATGGAGCCAAGGTTCAATCTGGATGCCCGGAAGTTCCTCCTGACAGTTAGGGCTCCAAGGGTATGGAATGGGTGGTTGAAGCCCCTTCAGTGCGGGTGTTCAAGGATAGGCTGGACATGCACATGGTAGGCATGTCATGAGTGGAGCCAGGGGTCAGACTAGATGGCCCGGGAAGCCCCTTCTGACTAATTCTGCTTCTATGTTTCTTGGACTGCAGAGCCTTTGGAGGAACTGCAGCTGTCAAAGGGCCTGCACAGCCTCATGCAGCTCATGAGGCTGTGCAGCATGACTCATATACAAGGTGCAGAAGTCTTCTGAAAGCAGGAGCATGAAAACAAGGCAGAGCATCCAGCCACCCTCAAGGAGTGCCAATAAGGCCATCAGCTGCATAGCTCTGCTCGTGGAGGCTTCCTAGTTCAGCATCTGCTTTGAGCTGGGTATTCATTTTCTCTGGCACTCCTTTTGCCTATGTAGGTCAGCTCTTGCCCATCTGGGACTTGGCCGGCCAGGGTTGGGCAAGCTGGAAGGTGTCTCTCCAAGCACTCAAGCTGATGCAGCAGGGCATCTGAGAGCTGGCAAGGGATGCAACAGGTCAGTGTACAGTTCGCTCCACCATATTTACTTTTTCTCTGTTTTACAACAGGAGATTCCTGTCACAGCCTCCATGTTCCATCAAGCCCCTAGAATTCAACACTGCCCTGATGACTGCACTAGCACAAGGCCATCCCTCAACTAAGAGGCCGATTTTGCATGACAGCTCCTTATCTCACAAAGGGTTGGCGCTGCCACCTCACCTCCTCCAAGCCTCCTCTGGAGATGATCATTTAATGTGACATCTTGTATTAATCTAGATAAGCCAGATGGAATATTTATGGCTCATATGCAAGAAGAGGATTCCCAGCCATTTAGGAAGCAAAGCCAGACATGACAAGGAGTGTCAGCTTCGTTTAGCTGCAAGAGGGTTACATCCACCGATTTGTAACATGGAAAGTGGATGAATTTTGGAAAGCACAACACCCTTCACAAGTTTTCCAGTGAAGCCTGATGTAGTCTTAAGCATGCAACAGTTTTTTTGCCCATTCCAAAAGCAAGAGAAAGCTGTGTCACTTTCTTGTAGGTATCCCACATGGAGAAAATCCGTAACTTCCTTTTCTACCAGAAGGGAGAGAGATACGACCCCATCCCACTCTAATTCCTGGAGGCCAAATGAGGCCAAGGTGGAGGCCCAGGCCCCGCAGTTCACTTGGACCCTGCTGGTCGCAGGTAACCCTGCAGCTGAGCTGCTGAGACTCGCCTTCCCTGCTCTCTCTCTCAAGAAACGCCCCCATCTTGCTTTCCTGCACTGTAAAGTCAAAGGCTGAGTGGCCACTGTCTGAACCCGCAGCAAGTGCCGAGCGGACATAAACCATGCAGCATTAGACCAACGGGGCACCATTCCGTTGCCTCAGTGACTGGACATGAGAAGGGGCGCCTTTCCCCACATCTCTGCAAGAACCCCAGGTGCCCTCCTGGTGCGCACGCGCCAAAATGCCTTGCTCAGCATTTGTGAACCTGGGGCTGTGGCTTCCTTCACAGGACCAATCCATCTCTTATCGGGTCCTTTCCCTCTGCTTTGGGCTTTTCCTAGCTTTATCATCTTCTCCAGGGAACCTTGCCTTTCGGTCATTTTAGCTTCCTGCGCACTCCCTACCTTTCAGGAATGTGGCAAAACATCCGTTGCCCTTCCCTTGATTGCTGCAACTTCCCACAGGGACCTGATTTTCCACTCCTTGTCCTACAGATCTGTGAGCACTGCCAAACTTCACTGCTTCGCTGCCACTGCCACCACCAGGACAGCTCCTAGTGTGCACGGGATTGCCAGGGAGCCCAAAAATAAACTCACAATACCTTTTCTATTTTCTGCTCTTTTGTTGCTGAGGAAAAGACTCTTCATTAGATGGCATTTGGTTTTCATCACTTTTATTGTAGATGTATCTCTTGAAAGCTGACTTTGGGGTGGAGAGTTTAGTATGCACCTCACTGGGAGGCCAACAAGGAGGTGGAAGCTCTGGGTGTGAGCAGTGGACTGGCAGCTCTGGGGACAGTGAAACAGGCACTGACTGTGTCCAGGAGGATGTGGGGATAGTTTACCTGAACTACCTGTGAGTTACCTGGCTTAGCCAAAGTCTGGGATTATGACACTGTAGCCCAAAAACAAACAAAATCACCATTGTGCAGGACTCTTGAAATCATGGGGGTGAAGGTGAATGGGCCCTGTGACAAGCCTGCGCTTTGCACCAAAGCAGCAACAAACCAGAGAAGCACCACAGGAAGCTGTTTCTGGTGAACAAGCAGTCATGTAGGAGGTGGTCCTCTGAACCGATTACTAAGTCACTTTTCAATGGGGGAGGGGGTGTTAAATAATAGTTATAGAAAAGAATAAGAATTGGAAGGGGCCTGTAGAGTCCTTCCACATGTGGTTGCCCATCCTGACGCAGCCCACACTTTTCCAGCTTAGTAAAGGTGACTCATCATGCTAGCTCAGTGAACCTGTGAACAGGCAGATGAACCATTTTATACTTGCACTGTCTCTGGCCTCTTTTAGCCACCAATGCCTACCATGCAGCCTGCAGCCTTCACCAGCTTGTGTGTAGAGAATGGAAAAGCCTCATTGGTGAGATCCGTGTCCAGCACTTCCTGCAGGACGGCACGGCTGTGGGGAAGAAGTACAGAAGAAGTCTTTTGGATCTTGGCAGAGCAGCAGAGGCTGGGAGAGTGAGCAGAGGGTGGCCAGGGAACTGGCAAAGAGAAGAGGATCGGGGGGGGGGGCAGAGGAGCGGGGGGGGTGGGGGGGGGGGGCTGGAGGAGTGCAGAGGAAGGTGACAGGGCTAGAGAGGCCAGAGGGGCCCAGGGGCAGCAGAGGGTGTGGGGCCAGTGGCCTCTGAGGCTTATAAAGCCGCACTCTGTCAATGGTGGTACCAATAGGAGTCGCCTCTTGTCTGCATCCAGTGGTTTTTCAGTGTTGTTCTTTGTTTGTTTGTTCTGTTTTTTCTATTCTGTCTGAGAGAACTAGGTGAGGAAAGTCAGGTGAGGGTGTAAGATAGGCAAGGCAGGGCAAGAGGAAGGGGAAGGGCCTGCGAGGAGTGGTCTATGCCAGGCCAGAAGACAGCCATGGCTGGAGCCACAGGTGTTGCTGTTGAATGCAATACCTGAGCCATGTTTGTCCATCCCTCTCAGGAACTGCAGGGATACATTTGCGCTAGGTGCAAACTGGTGCCCCTCCTACAGGAGAAGGTGAGGGATCTGGAGGAAGCCCTTACCTCCCTCTGGGGGATAAGGGAGGGTGAGTGATTCCTGGACATGACTGAAAGAGTTCTCCAGGTCAACTGGGAGCATCCCCCTTCCAGAGCAGCGGAGCAGCAGAGGCTGGGAGAGTGTGCAGAGGGTGGCCAGGGAACTGCCGAAGGCAAGGTAGGAGCTGGGCAGAGGAGCGGTGGTGGGTGGGGGTGAGGAGCAGCCAGAGAGGCCCAGAGGAAGCAGAGGGGCAGGGCCAGTGGCCTCTGAGCTCAGCCACTGGGCTCGACCCTTGTCTGTGTCCCTTAGCTGCGGTTCAGGCTGCCCAGGGACTCTCTCCCCCAAGGTCATTTGCTTGTTTGTGGATGAGGGTCTGGGACCAGCTGTGCCCACCATGGCAGCCAATGTATGAGGAGTCAGCCCTCCCCCGGCAGCCATTTCTGAGCATGCTCACTGTTAAGTGGCTAAGTGATGGCCATCAGTGACGGCCACTTAGATGGCCACGAAACTCACTGCCTGAGTGATGGGCACTGCCCCAAACAGCTGGGATGCCACTTCTCTCCCTTCCCTCTGACAACTATTAATAGGGTCAGAGGGGGTTATGGCTATCCCGGGAGCCTGGAACTCAGGGCGGGCTGGATTTTTCCCGTGGCTCTGGGCACCGCTGCCGTGGGCCCCTCTGGGCATGCAGCGCCTGGCTGTCTGGCGCCCTTCTGAAGATGAGACCTGGCATGGGGGCAGTGTGGATGGGGACTCTTGTCCGCAGCCCATGCAGGAAGGGCTGGGACGAGAGAGAGGTGGCCTGCTCCACTCTCTCCACAAGGCACCCGTGCAGCTGCCACTGTCTTGAGGTGATGGAAGTGTCCAAACTGAGACCCTCCAGGTGCATCCAGGTGCCAGGCTAAGGCCTTTTTATTTAAACAATAGTTTAACAAAGCTTAATATTATCTATAGGTTTTAGCTTCCAGCCAGAATGAATCAGGGTTTTAAATTTGTGTAATTTGTATTTTTTGTATTTGTATTGGGCAGTATGTTGTCTATTTATGTTTATTTATGTATGCTGTCCCGAGGTGTTAAGCGATGGGACAGCGTATAAAACCTCCAAATAAATAAATAATAAATACATCCAACCTCACCTTTGCCAAACTCACTGAAACAGTCTTAAAATCTGCAAACACTGCACTGAAGAAGGATGTGAAATGTGGCCGTTTTCACCAAAATAGTTCTGACAATCATCTCTAGTCTTTTTCCACTAACCCGATTTGCAAATGGCATCCCGGCTTCTTCACTCAAGAGTAGCCATGCATGTCCCACATCCACCCCGGTGCCCTGCCGCACCCCTACACCCCGAACCTGCAAGGTCCTTGGATGCTGATCATGCCGAGCTCCTCTGACCGGTCGATCAACTGGCACCGGAACTTCTTGTCCTGCAGAGCTGTGCTGATGTGGGACCAGTTGTGCTGTGCCACAGCGCCCCCAACAGCAAGGTAGTAGCCGTCACCTGGAAGGGAGGCAGGGAGCATGACAAGGGGCTATGCAGCCAAGGTCTGCAGCACCTGCATTCCCCCTGCGGTGGGCAGGCTTCCATCTGGCGGAAAAAGAAACTCATTTCCCTGGCACCTAGTAAGATCTGGGGCCCAATCCACTTCCCTGGGCAATCCGCTCCCTCCTTTTCCTCAAGTGCCAATAGCTTGGTGCGTTACCAGATTTTGTGCATTTCCACCCCCCACACCATTCTAGAAGGTTGATTAAAAAAAAAAAAATGTTTATTCATGTCTATCCTCCTTTTCCACCTTTTACATGGCCCTCCTCTTCTCCAGTTTATCCTCACAACAACCCTGTGAGGTAGGTTAGATTAGAAATCAGTGACTGATCCAGGTCTCCCATGTCCCAGTTGAATGGTCAAACCACTACACCATATTGCTTTCTGAGTAGGGACTTCCTCATGAGAAACACTTATTCCAGAAGCTTCTGCTGGGCAACCATTTTGCAACTGAACCATTTTGCAAAATCTGAGTAACTTATTCAAGGTATAAACTGTTTTGCAGCTTAATATGGTTTATATTAGTTTTTATGCCTCTTCTATCCTTGCAATTAGGTCACTGAGTTATATACACATAAGCCATGATGAAAAAATCAGAATCTGGATACTTAAAACTAACTGGGTCATTTTCTCTCCTCAAGGTATTAAGCAACAGCAGCAAAATCCTTCTGCTTGGGTACATTTTTCTCCCTCCATACTAGTTTCCTAAAGACACAAAACACTTTCATTAACCTGGGTAACCAAGAAGTCTTGGTTTCCTTTTCCCAACTTCTGTAAGGTTTATGACTCTGGGAAGGTGTCTGCTTTCAGAAGCATCAATCAGCTGACATACGTGCTGCTTTGATGAAGCAGATTTTGCACTTCTGTGCTTTTTCCAGAGAATCCCAGCATTCCTTGGAAGCAAGAAACTCAGAAACGGCAGAGGAACCCATGCAGCAGAGAGCTCTCTCACACATCAGTCCGCACTTAGTACACAGCTATGTACGAGAGACCTTCTCAGGTAACGTTGGATCACAAGGAATGACTTGGCCTCGCAGACTGTGGGACTCAGGAGCTCAGCTCAAACTGCACCTTTCTTTTGGCTCCTAATGCCTGAAACCTTCTGTCCTTGCATGGAGTCTTATGCTGCTGCTCTTGACTCCCGATTAAGCCCTGTTTGTGCCAGGCCCCTTTTACCTGGGCTGGCTGTGCTGTATCACTGGTGCTTTGCAAGATGGATTTGCTTGCTTTGGCCGCAGAGCTGTGTCAGCAGGTGGTACCTCTCTCAGATGCTGGACCCAGTGCTGGTTTTCTACCCAAAGGCCGAAGCTGTGCACCCTGGCACCCTCTTGCCATTGCCCCTAGAGTTGTCAACTGACCAGAAAGTGGAGCAGGGGGAACAGCCTTTATTATTTCTTGCAAAACAACTAAGGGAGAGGTATTTGTTCCTTTCTTAATAGTTGTAAGCTTTAGGTTAGCACAAAGTTTACAAAGCTCTGAACTCCACCCCAAAACTCATCCTCATCAGCCAAGATCCATCCTGGGTCTGCCCCCCTGACTTGGTCCATGCACCAAAATGTTTGATTTTAGGAATGGCCACCTTGTTCCTATCTTTCCTGTGAGTTCTATTTGGGCTGCAGCCACCCTCGAAAGGCAGAGGAGTGGGCAATCAAATTGGACTCCAACTGCCACAGCCTCTGGCCACTGGCCACGTGCCCTGAGGCTTCTGGGAGGGGGCCTCCAACACATCTGGTGGGCCTGAGGTCAGCTCCTTCAGCCAGGCATAATTTCACTACCTTAAAATCAACTTGGCTTGGGAAGAATCTCTCCCTTTTACCTTCAAACGCTGGTGCCAGCGCTGAGTCCTGGGTGCTGGGCTCGACAGGGCTGACCGTCAGATCGCTCTCGACTCCCCCACGCTTATTTAGCATGCAGGTATAAGTGGTTGCTCCTGCAGGTAGAGGGAGATCCCCAGAAGGGTCAATATTGATCCATGGATGGGTCCTTTGCTATGAGCAGCGCTCAGGATCAAAGGGGCAGGTGTGGGAAGAAAACACCATTGAGGTTTCTCTGTATTGTCCTGTTGGCTCCTTTGTTTCTATTTAGTTTAGTCACAGCTAAAACCCAGCTGTGAGGGGACGGAAGCAGTCTGAATGCAGTTTCGCTGCTGTGATCTTTCACAGACATGGCTAGGGCTGGAGGGAGCACAGATATGCTTTCATGCATTCCCAGGGCACCAGGTGTGGCTGGGCCAGCTATCACACAGAACAGGGTTGCTCACATGTTTGGCTTGCATTTGCTCACTCAGTCAAGCAGCATGCCTTGGTCAGGAACCCAGACAAGGCACAGCAAGGTGAGGAGCAGGTACCCAGTTTTATTTATTGATTTTATTTATATCACACCATTTTTCCTTCTAAGAAGCTCAAGATGATCATTCTCTCAGTCTCTACCAACACGCTGAGAAGTAATCAGGCTGAAAGTCCATGACTGGCCCAAAGTCACCCAGTGAGCTCCATGGCTGGGTGAGGACTAGAACTCAGGTTGCCTGAGCCCCAGTCCTGCACTTTCAACTCCTGGGACTTAGTTCCCAAAGGACTGAGACAGGGTAGTGTCAGAGCAGTCCCATTCAGTGCTCAAATTAGGGAGAGGCAGTGAGGGGGCCCAGAAGGAGCCCCACATCTTTCCCAGTGAGTACTCACAGGGCCCTCACAAAAGAGGACATTGACTGGACTTGCCGGTGCACAACGCTCCCGGGTACAGAGGGGAACAAAGGTCGCACTACCCACAAGGGTGCTCCATTGTCCTCTTGGGCAGTGGCCTGTCCTCTCAGCAGGACCCTGTTTGGAATGGTGCAGGCATTGTCTAAGGACACCATTTTCTGAGAGAAAGGGAGGCAGGCAGCCTGGGTTAGGCTGGCCGCTCCAACCCAACGCTCTGAAAATAAGGAGGTGGACAGGTTACCTGGAGGTTTGCTCACATCTGCAGTAAATAGCCAGTTGGCTGCCTGCCTGGCCTCGGGGCCAACAAGGTAAAACTTGCCAAAGTAAGACATGTCAAACACGGCCACTGCATTCCGGCAGGTTAAGCATTCGTTCCTGATCTACAGATTCAAAGCACATACAGATGGGGTGAGCAATGCACTGACCCCATATCCCCCTTCACCAGAGAGGAAGGGGCAACCTAGGGTCCACAAGGGAGCAGAAAGTGAAGACAGAAGAGAGGGAAAGTTGGTTGGGGACATTCATTTTAGACACACACAGACAGATGGGGTGGGGGTGGGGTCCTCCTCTTGGTCCAAATCATCACGGTGAGCACGTGCATAGTACCCACCATCTGAAACCAGTCAAAGGCTTGACTCTTTCTGGAAAATGCAGGTTGCTTACCTGCAACCATCATTCTTAGTGTGGTCATCTGGACATTCACACGTAAGAGCTTTAGTGACAGCAGAAGGCCTAGGTCAGAAGAAACGTCTACAGCTCAGCATCACGGAGTGTGCAGGGTCCCCACCCAGTCCCTCAGTGCCTTGGAGACTGCACCGTCTCCAGGCAGTCAAATGGACAGAGACCCGAGTGTGGCGGTGTGCCAGCTTACGACAGCCAGTGGGGTGCAGGGTTGGTTGTGTGACTCCACAGATAACCACTCAAAGAACAATGGTTACAGGTGAGCGATTTGCCGTTCTTCATTGTTGTCTCTGTGCATCACACATACGGGCGACTGGCAAGCTTACCCCCATAGCATGGAGGGGCTGCCATCTCTGCAGGCTTGATGAGGGGACCAGCCTGCCAAAAGGGGAGGCTTGCCTTGAGTGGACATCAAGGCGGCAGTGCTGCCCAAAGGCTGGTGGGTGACCATGTAGAAACAATGGAGATGCTGTGCGTGCAGGTACCACCGAGGGTCGGGGGGGGGGGGTGGTTGAGGCAGCCTGGGAACGCTGGAGTGTGTCCTTGGGCGTGCAGGATACCCACTTGGACAGTCTCTGCGATGATATGGGCTCCCCCTTTATTTGACTGTCACAGCATACGAGAGGCGGAGTTGTTCTGTGCGAGATTTCTAAAGGGCATGGACCCTGTGGGCATCATGCAGGAGTAGCGACACCTCCACGGATGTTGGTGGATTAGAGAAGAAAGCTGTGGGGACAACATCCTCATTGATATGGCATACAGAGGTAACCTTGAGCTGGAGCTGAGACCCAGGGCAGAGTATAGCCTATAGAAGAGAGGTATGGGCATTGGCTCACAGTGCCGATAGCTCACTTGCACGGCAGACAGACAAGACTGAGACCAGAGATGCTTTCTTCCAGGACAAAAGGTCGTAGGTCTGCCATTGCCGTGGGCTCAAATGGCGATTCGGTGAGGGACTGTAGAACTTCCAAGGGTGCCCAGAGGTGGGATGGTCGGCTGACGTTTTGGAGCCCTTGGAGGAACCTGTGACCCAGAGGGTGTGAGAAGGGCGGGGCGGGGGGGACCGTAGGATTGGAAGGTGGAAATGTGAGACAGCTAAGTGAACTTGTGGGGAGGAGGGAGAGAGGCTTGCACTGAAGTGGGTCTGGAGGTGGCTTAGTATGTGTTCTGTGGGGTCTCAGTGGGGTGAAGCCCTTCTGGCCTGTTGGAAGTTGTGCAGGCTTTCCATGTGGCGAGGTAAGACCTGCAGGTGCAGGGTTTAAGGGTGAGGGTAATAGTCCAAAAGAGGAGAAAGAAAAATGAGAAGAGAGTACGTTAACATACCTGTATTTTTAGTACATGAAAGGAAAAAGAAAGGAGCGGACATTGAAGTGATTCCAACTTAAGTAGTGTGCAGTCAAAAAGGAACTGAAGGATGGTGGGGGGGGCGTGCGTATAACCAGACTCCAGAGGGGGCAGAGCCCCTTCCCACTCTGTGACGCTGAGCTGTAGAACTTTCCTCCGACCTAAACCTTCTCCTGGTGCTGAAGCCCATATGTGTGATGCATGGAGACCACAATGAAGAACACCAACCCACCTTTGACATTGCAACTGAGGGTCCTGCATCATACCCTCAAAACAATTTGATTTTGGAGGGATCAGAAAATGTTCGAGTACTTTAGTTGCAATAAAGGTGGGTTCAACACCATAAACCCCTTTCCAGAACAAAATCCACATTCAATGAGCTGCCTGGAAAAGCACAAGAAAAAAAAGGCAGGGCAAGCAAAGAAACCATGAAGGTCCACAACCAAGCAGTGGTGGCTGAGCTTCTCGGGATGTGTGTCTTGATCCAGGTCCCATTTCTTAAGCTGCTCTTTGTGTGAAGCCAAGGAAATGTGACATTGGAGAATATGTCAGCCTACAAGTGATTTTTTTTTTCAAACAAAAAATGTCTTACTGAATAAAATCAGGAGGGGCCAGGGGGCTGTTGGGCACCACGCCCATGACTCCAGAGCTAGATCAAACCTCAATCTGATAGCCATCTGCTAGGGCCAGAAAGAGCACCCCAGGAGGTGGTAGCCAAGGCTGGGTCTGAGCTGAAAGTTGGGTTTAGCTCCTGAATTGCAGGAAGGAAATACTGGAGAAAGGACCCCTTCTGGTCTAGGGCAACTTCATATGTTGCTATGTTAATTAATTATGTTGATGTTCCCTGGTTTGGATTAAGTCCTGCCAGATCCATAAACACTACTTAACAGCACAATTTGGAATAACAGGCAAGTTTGGCCTTGGAGTACAAAATGAAGCAGGGCACAGGCTGGTAGAATTTTGTCAACAGAATACGATGGTCATAGCAAACACTCTTTTCCAACAACCCAAGAGACGACTCTACACATGGGCATCACAAGACAGTCAACACAGAAATCAGATTGACTATGTGCTCTGCAGCCAAAGATGGAGAAGCTCTAATCAGTCAGTAAAAACTAGACCAGGAGTTGACTGTGGCTCAGATCATGAGCTTCTCGTTGCAAAATTTAGGCTTAAATTGAAGAAAGTAGGGAAAAGCACTAGGCCACTCCGGTATGACCTAAATCATATTCCTGGTGAATATACAGTGGAGGTGACAAATAGATTTAAGGAATTAGTTCTGATAGACAGAGTGCCTGAAGAACTATGGATGGAGGTTCGCAACATTGTACAAGAGGTAGCAACTAAAACCATCCCAAAGAAAAAGAAATGCAAGAAAGCAAAATGGCTGTCTGAGGAAGCTTTACAAATAGCTGAGGAAAGAAGGGAAACAAAAGGCAAGGGAGAAAGATACACCCAACTGAATACAGAATTCCAAAGAATAGCTAGAAGAGATAAGAATGCCTTCTTAAATGAACAGTGCAAAGAAATAGAAGAAAACAATAGAATAGGGAGGACCAGAGATCTAGTCAAGAAAATTGGAGATATGAAGGAAATGTTTCATGCAAAGATGGGCATGATAAAGGACCAAAATGGCAGGGACCTAACAGAGGCAGAAGAGATTAAGAAGAGGTGGCAAGATTACACAGAAGAACTATACAAGAAAGAGCTTAACATCCCTGATAACCACGATGGGGTGGTCACTGACCTCAAGCCAGACATCCTGGAATGTGAAGTCAAATGGGCTTTAGGAAGTCTGAGCAACAACAAAGCTAGTGGAGGTGACAGCATTCCAGTTGAGCTGTTCAAAATCTTAAAAGATGATGCAGTAAAAGTGCTAAACTCAACATGCCAGCAAATGTGAAAACTCAACAGTGGCCACAGGATTGGAAAAGGTCAGTTTACATTCCGATCCCCAAGAAGGGCAATGCCAAAGAATGTTCAAACTACCGCACCATTGCACTCATTTCACATGCTAGCAAAGTTATGCTCAAAATCCTACAAGCTAGGCTCCAGCAGTATGTGGACTGAGAACTACCAGAAGTACAGGCAGGATTTTGAAGAGGGAGAGGAACTAGAGATCAAATATACGCTGGATATATTTGTCAACATATGCTGGATCATGAAGAAAGCTAGGAAGTTCCACAAAAACATCTACTTCTGCTTCGTTGACTATGCTAAAGCCTTTGATTGTGTGGATCACAACAAATTGTGACAAGTTCTTAAAGAGATGGGAGTACCTGACCTTCTTATTTGTCTCTTGAGAAACCTACATGCGGGTCAAGAAGCAACAGTGAGAACTGGACATAGAACCACTGATTGGTTCAAAACTGAGAAAGGAGTTCGGTTCGGTGGTTGAGGCCCCATCGGTGCGGGTGTTCAAGGATAGGCTGGACGTGCACCTGGTGAGCATGTCGTGAGTGGAGCCGGCTGATGCCAGAGGTCAGACTAGATGGCCCGGGAGACCCCTTCTGACTCGCTCTGTTTTCTATGTTTCTATGTTTTCTATGTTTCTAAGACTGTATACTGTCTCCCTGCCTATTTAACTTATATGCAGAGCACATCATGAGAAAGGCGGGGCTAGATGAATCACCAGTTGGAATTAAGATTGCTGGGAGAAATATCAACAACCTCAGATATGCAGATGATACGACTCTCATGGCAGAAAGTGAAGAGGAACCAAAGAGTCTCTTGATGCGGGTGAAGGAGGAGAGAGCAAAAGTTGGCCTGAAACTCAACATTAAGAAAACTAAGATCATGGCATCCAGTCCTCGCACTTCCTGGCAAATAGATGGGGAAGAAATGGAGGTAGTGACAGATTTTATTTTCCTGGGCTCCAAGATCACCGCAGATGGGAACTGCAGCCAAGAAATTAAAAGACGCTTGCTCCTGGGGAGGAAAGCTATGACAACTCTAGACAGCATACTAAAAAGCAGAGACATCACCCTGCCAACAAAAGTGCGTATAGTCAAGGCTATGT